GCATCTGGATTTTATTAGCAGCCGTTGGGAAAATCTGAAAAGGAAGTTTTTTCTCTGCGAGCACGTCGGCAGCAGTGATATGCTACACATAACCACTTCACTGCCGACGAGAGGAGCCAGGCCCTCCCAGAGGAGAACAGATGGTCGCTAGAACTTCAATACAATTACATCAATAACAGCTTTCACAGATATAAGCACTGTCTGACAGGATCCCTGCAGCTCAGAGAGGCAGAAGAACAACTCCTCTACCCTTAGCACCTCTGGCTCGGCATACGTTGTCTTTAATCCGTCCTCACTCCGAGTCTGTCCTCAAGTTAGCCCTTGTTTTACCTGCCAGTTTAAAACCAGTGACTTGTCATTGATTTGCTGACGGTAATCAGATCAAAGACAACTCGGCTTTTGTCAGCGCTTAATAAGTAGAACTCCTCCACCCGCCCCTCTTCCTCTGTTTGTGTTTTTTTTTTTTTTTTTTTTGTTCTACATGTTTGTTCAGCCGGCGCTGCATGTGTACTATCATAGGGATTCTCAAGTAACATAGGGGAAAATATGTGTTTGTGTCCGCAGCGTGAGCATATGCATACAGCAAACTTTGCAAACATCAGGCGTACAGCTGTGTATCTATTTGTGTGCTTGCCTGGGTGTGTGTGTGTGTGTGTGTGCATGCACTGTAAAGGCCTGTCTCCCACCCTGTCATTAGTGAGAGCTTTAAAGCCTCTGAACTCTAAATCAGCTCAAGATGAAGTGGAGTCTACGATCAGTCTGCAGAGGCAGCCTGGGTGCTGACAAATGCACACACCCTCACACTCACAGTCCCATTTTACCTGTGTTCAGACTTAACAAACTGTAAGGCAAAATACAGAACCATCAGGTGCAGAGAAAGAAAAGAGGATGTTTTGTAGATTGCTCCAGGTCAAATGAAGATTGTTCTACTGATGTCGGCGGTCTTTTTCTTTGGAATGCTATTTAGGCCGGCTGTATGAGAGTGGAGGTTGCTATGGGTGCTGTATCCTTAAGTCTGAGGTCCAGGGCACCGGGCTACAATCCCCATGTTTTGATATGAAGGCCTGGTGGGAGGCTGGGGGCCAGGGGCTCAGGCTCTGTTTGTGTGGACTCCTCAGCGGCCTGATAGGGAACAGATGTGGGAAGGCAGGCGGCCGGGCAGCCAGCCAGAGCAGCTGGGAGAAATTAAAAACAACAGCATTCCTGGAGACTGGGGGAATTACAGTGCGAGGGAGGGAGGGAGGGAGAAAGGGATGTAAGGAGCGGGAGATGAAGAGAGAGAGAGAGTTTTTAGGCTATGTGGTCACTGAGGAGAGTCTCTGTGGAGCACGAGAGATTGAATAGACGGGGGGGGGATTTAAGGGGACTGTTCTGCAGCGGTTAGCTAAAGCTAATAAGTTGCAGCTGTATTTCCAGTAGAAGCACGCACACACTTACATACAAACAGATATGCATACAGTCAACACATGGTCATATTATGGTCAATATAAAATAAGACCATGCATCAGAATGACCTTCTAATGGCTTACATGATGGTATTTGTTGGTATACAAGTGTGTGTGTTCATTTTTTGAGAGTTTGAGCGAAGTCATGTGTCTTTTAATCCATTATGAGACCCCAAAAATGGCTTCAGAAAGTTACACACACCACTGAGAGTGTGTGTGCAATCGTACAGCACATGATCTGTGGTTTGGTGTGTCTCTTGGTGGATTGCTTTGCATCTTGTTTCATCATGGCACAAGAGAGTGGAAGACAGAGAACATTTTTAGAACTCAGGCTGCATACTGTTTCTTTTGGTGAGCAATATTTTAGCCCCAATTACATCAAATGTGCAGACATACAGCTGTTCAGAGAGTCGGAGAGACGCAAAGAGATAGGCAATGATTGCATCTTATTGTTTGATTTTTTTATGATACTGAATAGTGACAGTTTGGGGGAAAGGCAAAGCATTCATATCCTCAGATATACTCTCTTCTGTATTGATCACAAAATGGCTCTTCTCAGAGAGCAAAATAAATAACCTGTTGGGGGAAAAAAAAGCATGATCCAACCTTAGCTACAGGTCAGTTTTACTTGGTGCAACAGTCTCTCTATTTTCTACTTCCCTTAGTTTGATTGTTTCAGCACAAAGCACAAAAGGAGCACAAATGGCCACAGATGGGTTGGCAGACCTAGCAGACTTCCTAATGTATTAAAAGTAAAATCCTGAGCGTGGTGCGTATGTGTGTGCCCCTTCCCTGTAGCTGGTCAGATTAAACAGCTGTCTATAATCCCACAGTAGGAGCAGACTGGCTGGACGGTCCTCTTATTCTCTCCTCATCTTCCTATCCGTCCTGTTCTCTTAAGATGTGATAATGTCATGGCTGCTTTTTTTTTATCCTATTCAGGTTGAAGCTATACAAACGGCGTTTGAACATCTGTTGTAATTCCTGTGCAGTAGTGTGCTGTAAAGTCAATGTTTTTTAAATGATTATTTCTACTACTATAATTATACATATACTTCTTCACAATTTGTGAAGCACTTTGTTACCATGCTGTATGACATGGGCTTTACCAAAAATAAATCTGTTCCATTGAATGAAGCGTCATACCATTAAGAGTCATTCTTTATGTGGTAGAACTGTACTAACACGCTTGGTTATTACAGTGGATGTAAGGATATTCTTTGTTAGGACATGTATAATATGGAAGTCCCATTGTAAACACTGCTACATGTATATTTGATCAAGAAGGAGTTTTTTCTGAAACATATGGCTTCCTCCCTACAGGAAGCAGCCAAACCAATCCAGCAGCACCAAGAGCTTGTTTGTGTGTTTAGGATTCTAATGTAGAGAATCGCTGCATCTATTTATACCAACCTTTCCCATCTGCCTCTATCTACAACCTTGTGTGTTTATGCTCTGAGCGTCTGGCATGGGGCAAACAGTGGAGTGCCCCTCGTGTTCTTGAGGATCACTGTGTCAATGGCCCTCGTGCAGCACACTCCAGAGTGGCACTCTTTAAATACAGACACCCAGCTGTTGAATGCGTCAACATGAGCGCTCTCAGAAATAGGTGAACACTCGGGCCAAGTGAGGCAGGAGTTTTGTGGGGAAAACGTCGGAATCCATAAAAGATCACCAGGAGTGAAGTTGGAAAGACATTTGAGAGTGATTTGAAAAATTAGTAATGTAAAAAGATTTATTGTCGGAGTATAAACATTTTTCAAGGTTTGGATGTTTGATATCAATCGTGATTGTTGTTATTTTAATTGCAAACAGTTTAAAGCAGTGGTTCTCAACGAGTAGGTCGGGACCCAAAAGTGGGTCACAGAGCTTTTTTCAGTGGGTCGCAAATGTGTGCCTGGGTTAAAATGGCGTCAAAAAGTCGATGAGGAGTTTTTTGTACATGTTTGTTTTCTTTGTTTCTTTGTTCAATCACACGTTTTGTAGCGTGCAAGGACATTCGAGTAGCAATTTTTCATGAAGGAGTTATTTGTGGGCCCTGAGGCTAATCCAGTTGAGAACCATTGGAATAGAAAACATGACTACTGAACAATAACTATCTGTTTTTTTTCGATCTCACTTGCAGAGCACTGAGCAACTCTTGCAGTGACCTCTCACTGTGAATATGCGGAAACAAAATGTGAATTGGATTTTTTTTGTCAGGGCCTCATACTTAAGACTTAATTTGTTTCACATTTTCTCCTGTAATAAATTAAGACATGTCTGAAAGAGAGAAAAGGAAAAGATGACGACGAATGGAATTAATAAACACCACATAGTGTTTACAATGTGGTTTACAACTGTTTTGCTAGAGCATAGAGGAGAGTCCTCTCTATGTACTCTTATTACGAATGCTGTTTACCACCCTTAATAGTGGTACTGTACCAAAGCAGAAATAAACGTGTAACTGCATAACTATCATATAAAACCATGCAACATATTGTTGTTTCTCATTGCATAGTGCAACATTTAATTCAGTCTTTCAGGTATGGACGTGAACACAGACCCTAAAGCCATCTTCTCACAGGCAGCACAAGTCATCACACCCTCAGCTCAGGTTTAAATTGCAGAAAGATCTAGTTCCAGCAGCTGCACGGACAGACAGTGATACACAAAAAGACGGTCAACACGCTCAGCTCGCTAAATAATAGACCTGTTGCATATTTTTATTGCGTATATATAGTTTGACTGGTTGCATGCATGCAGTATGGTGCAAGGTGGTGTTCTTCTGAAAGGCAAACTGCATATATAGACCTCATGAGGCTCTGCCACAGAAACAGAATGTAAGGCAGCAGTCCTCACACATGCTTGTGGTCATCCTACATCCACCCCGTGTCATGTTTTCTTCGAATGCCCCTCACTGTACCATCCATTCCCTTCATGCTACACAGCCAGGCCTTGCCTTGTTTGGTCCTGGCAGGGTGTCTGGCTAAGGACAGGGAGGCTTCTGGTAGCAGGATGGAGCTTTGCTGAAAGCCGGTCCACGCGGTGACGGACAGCAGCAGATCCAGCTGCACTTGTCACTAGCTGTCAAACCGGCTGTCTGAACTGGGGGACAAGAGGGGACAGGCGGGGAGGAGTGTGTGCCTGGGAATATCTGTTTCTGTGTGTGTCTGGGTGCTGGAGGTTACAGTGGAGGGGCACTGATTGGGATGTCAAAGCTGCTAGGAGTATGTGTTTGTGAGAGAGAGAGAGAGAGAGAGAAGAAGGGGGGGGGCTAAGTCAGCAGCAGCTGAGCTTGTGAGCAGGTGTTACTGTATGTCTCCCAGGCCCATGAATCTCCAACAAGAGAGACACAATACAAGTTTGGATTCATTTCCACCCTGCATTGATTTGTTTGGCTTCTTTTGGGGCGGCTTTTGGTTTAAGGGAAACAATCGATGATTCCCAGGTGAAAATGTCAGTGCTCTGCTTCTTAACCAGCTGTCTCCTCTTTGATAGTTTTTTTTTTTTTCTTTTAAACTCATGCAGAAGCTCCAACTTTATGACCGTCTCTTGTTTTTTATCATTTTGCAGGTAGCAGAGTGCCGAAGGTTGGAACAATGCCAGATTCACCTGCGGATGTGAAAACCCAGCCCAGGTCCACCCCACCCACCATGCCTCCTCCAACCCCGGCAGTCAGCCAAGCAACCAATCGCAATGCTTCATACACACCAACTACAAGTAAATCAAGTAAGACCCTATTCTTTTGTCACATGATTTTCAAATTAATGACACACCAAGTCAGCTTCATAGGGTCAAGTGCAAATAATAGTATCATTTATCTATCTAGAAATCTATACATTACAAACAAACATAACTGTTGTTTAGCTCTGTGTTTTCTTTTGTGATGATGAGCCATGTCAGCAGGTGTCAACAGGCAGGTGTGAAAAATACATTAACTTGGAGGCATGTTGTACCAGTGAACCAAAAGCTGTAAGCTGTAACTCTTCATTTAATAGTAAGCATTGGAGAGGAAAGACATCTATTTAAGAGAGATGGTATCTACAACATTGCAAACAGTTCTTCTCTAAGAGATGACTGATCTAGGTCAAATGCAATTTTGTCTTATACCTTAAAACTGAACTAAACTGGGGCATGCAGCGATCTAAACATTGAGATGCATGTCATATAATGTGAACGCATTTACCAAAGTTTGATTCCAGTCTGGGAAGTATTTTTTATGTCACTCAGTGACATGATTTTCTCCTGATACTTAAACATTCACTTTGTCAAATAAAAGCAAAAAAATGCAACAACAGTTCCTTTGGTGCAAAAGGTTACATTTAGCATGTCATGTTCGAGAACTCATTCACACATCAAAAAAATTGTTAAAAAATGACACAAATATTCTCACTTCTGTGGTACCGCAAAAGCTGTCAACTATAAACTACACAGTCATTTGTTCCTTTTAGTGCCAACTGTCATGAACACTTCATATGCTTGTGTAAAGGGACAGAAATTCCAAATATGTATGTCTTCCCTGTTTGGGTGACAAGTGTTGAAGTCACTTGTGTGTCAGGTGTGTGTCTCAGCAGGCATATATCTGTGGCTGTGTGTGTTTTTCTTTGGTGTGTAGAATGCCCTTGCTATTGGGACAAGTGTCTCTGAGCGCATGTGCATGCGCGGCTGTGGCATTGTGTGTGTGTGTGTGTGTGTGTGTGTGTGTGTGTGTGTGTGTGTGTGTGTGTGTGTGTGTGTGTGTGTGTGTGTTGTTTACCAGCTGGCTGGTTGGGTGGTGGGTTCAGGGGACATCAGTCAGGGTGGCAATGCGGTGTGTAGACTACTTTCTTCCCTATATAGCAATGACAGGCCGTGTTTTTTCACCTGTTGTGGTAGACAGTCAGCAGTGTAGCTCTCTCCTTGCACTTCTCCCTCGCTCTAAAACCAGAACACAAGCGCTGCCTGTCCGGATCACATGGGTTAGTCCATATGTGTTCAGGCGCTTCACTGGACAACAAGCATGCCTGAAAGGATCCTAACTTTTTCTGTTGAACATACATAAACTGTATCAAGTGTGAGCATATGGGATAGTGTCACAGTGCATAATGACACGCTTCAGGGGTTTGTAAATCCATATTGAAATTATTAAGCTTCTGCATTGGTGACAATATCATAGTTTGGATACCATGCTCAATGTAAATGCTTGGATGGGCTGTTATGATGAAGGTTTAATATTGTTTCATTATAGACAAAAACATTTCATATTCTATGTGTGACGTGTAAGTAGTAAGCAGCTGTTGTGTAATTTGGTTTAAGTTTCGTAATTAGTTAATTTCTTTCACAAAATGTATGAGCGTGTATTTGGATGTGTTTGAAACCTATAAATAGCTTGTACAAAAAAAGGACCCAAAAGACAAATACAAGGCAATACACACTACATACCAAATCAGCCAAAACAACCGAAATATAATTTTTATTTTTGAATAAACTCCACATACAATACACTACTGAAGTGAAGTAAAAAAGTAAACAAATGTAGGCAAAGAGAAAACGTATTTAAACTAATAATTAAAACACAGATATATATATATATATATATATATATACTTTACAAATGTTTGTATGAACCATATCAACCACACGAGACAGGAGAGGAAGAGAGGTGAGCAAGCATTTCTTAATGATCTGGCTACAGACATGAAAACATAAAAATGGAGGAAAGGTCAAACGTGGGTTTGTTAGCTCCTGTGTAATTGTGACTTTGTTTGTGCCTGCATTTGGAAAAATATGCGAGTGATTATATATGTGTGTGTGTGTGTGTGTGTGTGCGTGCGTGCGTGCGTGCGTGCGTGCGTGCGTGTCTGTGTGTGTGTGTGTGTGAATGCTGAGTCTATTCTGAACCTTTGAGCTGCAAAGCTACTTTCAGCTGGTGGACATGTGTAGGGCCAGATTTAGCTACACACCTGCTATTGAAATAAAAGTAACACAGGCTGCAGGCCTATTTTTGGCACCTCTTTAACAAGTTCCTCTTATAGTTGTGTCCTAGTGAGTGAGTGAGTGAGGGGGAGAAGGTGAGGACCAGGGTGGAACAGGCTGATACGGGGTGGGGGGGAGTGTAAGGGGGAGTCAAATGGTACCAGTTGTGAGACAGCTGAAGTTACTGCAAACACACACACAAACATACTCACAGCGCTCAGTCAAACAGGCAGAGAAGTGGGTGACTGAAGTAACATTGTGCATTATATTGCAAGCGGGGGTTTCTAATGTGTGTTTTACTTGTAATCTTAACCATTCAATCCTATATGAGCAGAATATAATTGTTTCTTTCCCTCATCACACCCCCAGATATGGCAGAAGCCCCCCAGGCCCCTCCAAAATCTACTGACCCAATTCACATGGCCTCTTCCTTCTGTCTGTTTCTCTGCAGTGCTGAATGGGAGCAGCCACTCACCTACATCACTGAATGGTGCTCCCTCCACTCCCAACGGCTTCAGTAATGGGCCGGCCATGTCCTCCACCGCCTCGCTTTCCAACCAGCAGCTTCCGCCAGCCTGCGGTGCCCGGCAACTGTGCAAACTGAAGCGTTTCCTGACCACGCTGCAGCAATTTGGCAACGACATATCGCCTGAGATCGGGGAGAGAGTGCGCAGCCTGGTGCTGGGGCTGGTGGTACGTTCTGATTGTACTCTGCCCAACTTCACTACTACATATACATCTATCCATTCATTCAGCAGATCTCTTTAATGTGACTTTTTTTTTAATGCTTAATGTTAATTTATCTAATAAAACAATCACAACATTTAATCTTTTTTTGCTAGAAATATGGCTATCGTGGTAACTGTTTTTAACAAGCTCCTGTGTCTTCTCTGTCTTTTTAAGAACTCAACACTCACTATTGAAGAGTTTCACTCCAAACTTCACGAGGCCACCAACTTCCCTCTGAGGCCGTTTGTCATTCCTTTCCTAAAGGTAAACACTCATGCATAGATTTTCAGTTGACAAGCACAGAGATTTCTCCTACTGCGTATGTGTTGTCATCATTCCTTTTAAAATTTGCTCCAAAGCTCCTATAGCGGAAAGGATGGAGACCTTTGATGTCTAACTAATAGCAGTATACTGCAGTTGTAGTGCAGAAAATTGTGTGTGTGTGTGTGGGGGGGGGGGGTTATGCTTGTGGATGTCCATCGAAAGCAGTGTGAGCGAGAGTATCAGACCCCCTGCTGTGCGATGATCCGCCACATCTGGGACATTGCAGCAATAGCTAGGTTATAACAACCAGGCAGGTCTGAGAGAGCTATTTGACAGCACTGACACACACACTCACACACACACACACACACACTCACACACACACACACACACACACACACACACACACACACACACACACACACACACACACACACACACAATATACACATAAGCCCACCCTGGAGAGAGACATGGCAGAGGAACGTGTCAGCGGACCTGTCTTATCTCATCCTGTCTCTATCACTTTCTTTTTGACTTGCCCTAATCTGTTTTTATTTTAATCTGTTTTTCCACCATCAGGTTTTTGTTCACCTCTTATACATACATCTTTACATCAGTTCAATAAATCTATACCCTTCGTGAAACAACTTGTTTTATTCCTAATCCTGAGATGTCTGTTTTTACCTCTAAAGGCAAACCTGCCCCTGCTGCAGAGAGAGTTGCTACACTGTGCACGGTTGGCAAAGCAGACTCCAGCTCAGTATCTGGCCCAACACGAGCAGCTTCTCCTGGACGCCAACGCCAGCTCCCCCCTCGACTCCTCTGAGATCATGCTGGAGATGAACGAGCACGGCAAAAGGAGGACCCCTGACAGGTAGCATCTCTCTATTAAACACAGAAAAACACAGAAAAAGGACTTCAGGCAGTGTTGTGTATGAATTATTTCAGGGTATTTTTAAATGCCAAGCGACAAGAGGAGTAAATCCTCTGTGCGGGAGGCGGAAGTCTGGACAGCCTGATGCCAGGATGAATCTGCCAGCTGTCTGGGAGGGAGGGGTGGGATAAATGCAGAGCAGAAAATCACACAGATTGTCTGAAAAGGGGGGGAAAAAAAGAGCGACCAAGAAGATGGGTGAGTGAAGTACAGTAGATGTCCTCAGTATAACCCAAAGACCAGCAGCAAGTTTGTCCCACATTTCATCCCAGTGCTCAGCTTTATCATACCCGCTAAGAAGATGCACCAAGAGAGAATTAGAAAACATTTCCTTTTTCTTCCTTTGTCTCTTCTGGTGCAATCCTTCTTCACCTCTCTCATATTTTCTCTTTCTCTCTGACTGCCTGACCTGCAGGCTCACAGCAGCTGTCCATATGTCAGGGATGTGTCCAGATGGTGATGTGCTGACCGTAACACTGAGCACATCCTAAGCGCGGGTGTAGGGAGGTGGGAGGTTGATGGTGGTGTAAGTGGTGGTTTGGATGGGTCTAGAAATTGGAGCTTGAATGTGCAATCCCACTGTAATCCACACACCTCTGCCTCCCGACCTGTGGTTTATAAACAGCAGGCGAAACTTGTGAAGGAGGGGGAGTGAGGGGGGGGGAGAGAGAGGCCAAGGGTCCTGCTGGGGCAGGGCCTACATTGTGCCAGCTGTTCCTGTGATTTTTCAGATACTAGAGCAAGGGATGTGTACGATTATAACCGGCATGCACAAATATACACAAGGATAAATATGATTACACACACACACGCGCGCGCGCGTGCATCCATCATCTGCATTGGGCAGCGCTGCATTTATTCGCCTTTGATCCCCAGGATGATAAAGAGTGATTTCTATCCGAATGCCTGCCTATTGCTATCCTGCTAAACAGATTAATATCAACACTCCCATTTAAACTGTCCAGATGGCCTGAAAACACTCACACACACACACACACACACACACACACTCGCTCACTTGAAGTAAACAGACACAAATGAGTGTCACTAAACATCTGCCAAACACACAGCATTCAGCCCATATTGCCCCTTAAGCCGGAGAGCAGGGTGGGAGGGAGAGGGAGAAATACTTGCAATCTAAGAGTAGGCTGAGGGATATTCAGATTAAGAGCTTGAGACGCATGGTGTACAGTTGGACTTGGCTTTGTTTGATACATATGGCGTACAGCTGTGCAAAAGCTTCGCAGGGCCACTGCCTCACTGTAACTGAACAACAAGCAGCTCTCAGGAGGGAAACATGCATATGTGAGGATGCCTGAGCCTGTGTGTGTTTGCAAAAGCAATGTGGGAATTTTTTAATTTTGAAGACAGTGTTGTGTTTCTTTGTTAAAACCTTCTAATGCAGGTTAATCTCACTAGACACTGTAACCATTGGAAATAAACTCTACTAGAGCTTTGGATATGTTTTTGTTTGTTTGACAGACTCTTAACATTAGAGCTCAGCTGGTTATTCAGATTTTGAGATTTTTCCTCTTTTGAATAGTAAGTTGACCCAATAGTTACCTTACATGGTATCACAGTTTGGTAAATGAAGACAGTTTACTAGTAATAAAGGCAATACATGCTTATAACAGGCTCACACAATGTGAAATGAATCATATCTGTTCATTAGTTTGTTTCATGTGTCATGTTTTTCAGGCATATTTTGCCTCTTGATCTGATTTAAAGGCCTTCTAGCTCTTAGCGGGGGCTTGTTTTTCCCGAACCATGAAGTAATGCTCTGGCAATGCATTTTTAGCCTGGCAAAGCCAACCCACAGTCTTCACATTACTCATTGTGGTCTGGCGAGGACAGAACAAGCTGAAGACGGATAAAGAAGGATGTACATGAAGTGCAATATCTGTCTTCTTACATTAACGTGGTGTCAAAAATCAGTTGCTGATAGTTTGAAATTGAATGTAGTCAACATCCAAAGAAATCCAGATTTTTGCAGCTTTTATGTGAAACAAATCTCAATGGACATCAGTGGATTAAAGGTATATGTGCTGGTGGAACAAAAAAAAACATGCACAGGATTTAGTTTGGTTGTGCAAGGCCATTGCTTATCAGAAAATAAACACAAAATCTTATGACAAAAATCTGGTTTGTTATTTATCATACAATTCCAAGCCTTTACATTTTCCTCTGCTCTAAAGATTCTGCCATCTTTGGTCGGTGTCTCGCCATTTCATCCTTCATCTGATAGTTTTATTTATTTATCAGTTGATTAATGCCTTTGTTCAAACTGCTGGTTGGTGTGGGTCTACTGTCTCACATTGTATTCTGCTATTGGGGTGACATCAAACTGTCTGCTCTTATTTTATGTTCAAACAACCCTCCACAAAAGAATATCAAAGTTGTAAGCCCCCTCAGAAAACCTGTTATAATGAGCACTTTCAATCCTGATTGATATTAATTCCTATCTATGGTCTATGTATAATATGTGACGGTTTTTGTTTGAATCCACTTGGTGTCCTCCTCTACAGGACCAAAGACAGCTCTGACAGAGATGGCCTGCACCCAGAGCACCTAGCTAAGCGGCCCTGCACCATCAGCCCCAGCCAACGCTTCAGCCCAAGCACAGGTCTTCCTGCTCATCCGCCTCCCAACGGCCTCTCCACACACCCTCCAAACGGCCTCCCTCACCCACCAAACCCCCAAATGGGACCCCAGCACTATCGACTAGAAGACATGGCTCTGGCACACCAGTATAGAGACGCGTACAGGCATAATGAACAACGCGAAGCTCGAGACAGGCACCGGCAGACAGGTAGGACAGCTGCAATGTACTCACGGGGTCAGGTAAACTTATAGATCTACAGTCCTCAGTTATGTGGTCAGGCGTGTGTGTAGGTAAATGTAGAGGACAAAGGCCAGTTGTTTGTCCATTGTGATAATCCTTGTGGCAGTGCGTCTATATAAAGACCACAGCCATACATGCCCATGTGCTAAGACTGTGGCAACCATATATGCTGTCCCTCTGCTTTCCCAAAAGGAGAGAGGTGAATTCTTTGTCCAATTGTCTCACTGGTAAGACATTTAGCTATGGCACAGGCACACAAGGGCCTTTGATTGATTGGTTGTTTCATTTCTGATTGTTTTTTTTACCTTTTTTTTAAAACCAATCCTTAATCATGTTATCCAGATATTTATCAGTATACAGTTAACAGGATCACGTTTAGATCTTATTTCCGTATTTTGAGCTCTTTTGTTTGTCTACATCTTGCTGTATTTTTGTGTTTTATGTACAAGCTGCTCTGCACTAATACCTCTAGTGGGATGTATTATGTTGGTTTATCTATATTTATAATAATAGATTGATTATAATATGTCTCTTAGTTAAAGTCAGGATTGGGTTTTTGGTAAGAAATGTGGCCAGTGTCCCTAATCAAGCACCCGTTTTCTTTTCAAATATTGTTCAGTGACTACACTGCACTGGTTTTGAGTTGTGGTTTGCAAACAACTCTATTTCTGTTTAATTTGACCTTTGGGAATGTCTTTTAGCAGTGCATGGAGCCCGCCAAGAGGAGGTGATTGACCACCGTCTCACAGATCGAGAGTGGGCGGAGGAATGGAAGCACCTTGATAATGTAAGTATCAGCTTGATTTCCCTGTTTAGGTGTCAACCACATCTTTGTTACAATCATAAACATCATTAAACAGTGGGACAAAAGGAGCTATTAGGTCATCACATGATTAAAGTATGTTTTAGTGCCATAGACAGGATACAGATGACAAAGAGCGGTACTGTTGACACACAGAACCGCCTCTGTCCAGGCCGCCTGAGCAGTTGACATGACAGCTGACTTTAGGAGGGTGCAATGAATTAACAACAGACACACACCTAGTTTCTCCACACCCAACTCCATGACGACAAAATCATGTACACGAGATTCACACACATATGCACACAGACAGACACGCACACACAGAAAACTAGGCCCCAGATGGAGCTTCGGGACCCAGCAGAGAGCAGCTCCAGCTGGGGAGAGCAGCTGAGACAAGAGCTGCAGTCATGGAGAGAACCGGCCAGGCCTGGACCCCTGCCAAATTAGAAACACTTCAGTGAAATAAATATAGCTTACTCAGAGGGGAGGGAGGAGGAGGAGGAGGAGAAGGAAAGGAGGCAGAGACAGAGAGAGGGAAAGATGAATGGGAAGAAGGATATGGATTGAATGTCAAGCATGCTAAACCCATTTAGCAGGACCGGACCGGGTCTGGAATCACAGGGCACTATGGGAAAAAGTGACACTGTTTACAACCGGGGGAGGAAGGGGAGGAAATCTGTTGAGTTGGCAGAGAACGAAGCAGAAGGGTGGAAGGAATTGGCTCAAATGTTTTCATCAGCAGCCCAGCTGTTACATTATGGTTGTTGTAATGCTCTTAGACATTGAAATTCACTGACAGACACACAATCCATGAACAGAGGCAGACAGTCACACGCAAACATACACATCTGTTTGGTGGTATGTGTCAGAAAGTATGTATTTTACAGCTCTTTGGATTAAGAAACTTTTTTCTTTTGAATGGGGTTTGTTTGTAAGGCCTGTGGGGGTTTCAAAAAATATATTTTAATGGATTTAAAATCAAATTTGTGAAGTTAACTCCTTTTTTCCAAAATCTGTGAAGGTGATTTACTGACTTGTTCATTTTGAGTTTTGAAGCTAAATAATTTACATTTGTAACTACATGGAGCAGTGGTAAATTTCTCCATTTAACGAATTAAGTAAAACCTAAATCTCATACTTAGCCTGCCCCATTGCAGCTCTTGAACTGCATCATGGACATGGTGGAGAAGACGCGCCGCTCTCTGACTGTGCTGCGCCGCTGTCAGGAGGCCGACAGGGAGGAGATGAACCACTGGATTCGGCGATACAGCGACGTGGAGGAGATGAAAAAAGGTGGGAGCAACGGACAGCACTGCCTTCCTCCTCCTCCTCTTCCTCCTCCTCCTACTCCTCACCACAACTCCTCCTCCAACACAGCTAGCAGCAGCGAGTCACTGCCCATAGGAACGTCCTCGGCTGCTGAAAGGCAGACAGGCAGACAGACAGGTAGACAAAACACTCGCAGGGTTTGTTTGGCAAAGCAAAACACTCATAGAAAGGTAGAGCTGATTTAAAATGCTGAAAATGCCAATTGAGGCACAACATTTGACTTAGATTATCATATTTTCACTAAATGTACCAATTTGAGATCATACTGTGAGGCAGTACCAATCTGGATGTTAAACCACCTGATCTCACCATCATATGTCCAGCATCCACATTCATAATAAAGATTTTATTCACTTTGAAATCCTGTATTCCCATTACTCATCAACAATAGCTGAACATGTTAAAGCTTATTTACCTATGCTTCCACACACCAAGTTTAGGAAATATAATTCAAATCAATAAGGGAGACACTTTGAAAGTACTTTGTATGAATAAGAGTGTAACTGTGTCTAAGTGTGTGTCTGGTGTGTGTTTCAGAGATCCACAGAGACTTCTTACACAGGCCCCCCTCAGGATATCTGCCAGAAGAAATCTGGAGGAAAGCAGGTAAGAGCCAAACATCTTTCATTTTTTTCTCTATTGTCTTTATATTGACCTCACACACACTCACAAAACGCACACACTTAAGGCCGTCATCAGTCTTTAGGGCTACCTTGCCCTCGCCACATAGACAGACAGAGCAGAGGCCTTGCAGCTGCAGGTCCATCAGGGCAGAGGATTGGAGGCCTTCTGTGTCATTAGGGCTAAATGCCCTCCATCTGTCACTGCTATGAAAGGCCGCTGCAGTTAAAGCTGCAGTGAAAATGCAGTCACCTGGCCGGACAAAGGTCGCAGCAGCACAGCACAGGTTGGAGCTTAAAAGGTCTCCATTGTCCCAAGAACACATTTTTCATGTGACTGTTTTCGCATGCACATTAAAAAAACGTATTACTGAATATTTTGTGATTAGTTTTGGCTCAATTTGCAGTCACAGGGAGGCAGGTGGGAGTGTTGTATTGCATGGGCCTTTTTGTACAGTATACTGCATGTAAGACGGAGCCCAACCGAGAAGTCATCTGGCTCATTCCTGGTTCCACCAGAGTCCCAGCACCATTATGTTACAGTCATATTCCAATACCCTGTGGAGGGGAGATGCTGCTGCTGTCGGCAAAATACTGTGCTGCATTTTCACCAGCAGAGAAAGCTCTTTTAATTGCAGTTGTTTTTCATACAGGTACTACAAGCATCCCGCTCTCCCCAGCGCTAAAGCACCTCCAAAACAGGCAGGGTGAGTAAAATCTCTCACAACATCTCACCTTTAGTGTGTGTGTGTGTCTGTTTGTCTCTTTGTGTGAGTCACCTCTATCTCAGCAGCCAGATACTCTGCCTGCTGTAGCAGCAGCACCTCTTGGTTTTAATTAAAACCAGACACGTATTCTGTGGTCTGGTTCAGGTTGAGTGACTGCGGCGCTTTTGAAAAATAAGATCTGAAGTGTGAAAAAGCAGACAGAAATAACACGTCTCAGGGACTCGCCAAATCCCTGCGGAATTAAAACGTTAATATTGCTGCCCCCGTGTTTTCCATTAAGTGCTAATTGCCCCAGCATCTGCTATGCAGTCTCCTTGATAAGAATTAATTAAATTTGCAAACTAATCTTAGCGGTGCATGCATTAGGCCAGATAATTGAGAATGCAGATAGTGTTTGCAAGGAACTGAAGAAAAAAAAGGAGGAGGAAGGGTGGAAAACGGAGTAGGAAAGAAATGAAGGATAAAGGTAGAGACGCATGACAAGATGAGGGAAAGCATTGAGACGTGGCCAAAGTGTAACTGTATGTTGACAGGTTTGACTAACTTTTAAACATAATAGCATAACATCGCAAAACAAATCTCTGCACACCTGAATGTGTGACAGGTGCGTCGGAGGAGGGTAAAACTAGAGAACACTGTCTCATATTAATTTGATCATACAACGTTTAGTTTAACCAATGAAGGTCGCTAAGGCGTGCATACATGCGCACAGCCATGTGCATGCAAACAGCCATGAAACATACACGCAGCTGTGTGTGTAAGCGCTCTCCCTATTGCTTATCTTTTAGCACAGTGGTTTGAAACAACTGGAGTAGAGCGGCGAGGAAAAGTGACAGTAATGTATGAGTTCCCTCTCAGACAAACACTGACTGGAGGAAATCAGGTGCAGTGGAGAGAACAATATCAGTCTTACCACCTACTTGGTTGGCCTAACACACCTGGAGAGCCTCTTGTATTTGTGTCATTTGTGCCTCAGTGTGTGTTTGTCTACGTCTAGAGGAGGCGGAGCGGGAGAAAGAAAAATCATTTGATCTTTAAAAAGGTTTCTGTCTCTGAGGCCAGAATAACATGGAACATCTTTCCATCACAACACGCACCACATAAGCATTTGATTAATTAATAGCATATATTTTGCATCCTATTTTTTCAGGTGTTTAATGCCCTATGAGACATCGTGTATTTTACATGTGGAGCCCATTGTGAGGTCATGAATGATGGTAACAAAAAAAAAACATGTCATCACTCATTACTAACTGAGGAGGGACTGCAGGAAGTTTCTATTTTAGACTGCCACCTGGAAAGAAGTCTACCCACCTGCCTGTTGTAAAAAAAAACAAAAAACACAGCCTCCTCACTCATACAGTTTGTGCTTGTGCTGGAAGAGGCCCTGTGATAAGAATCTACACTTTAATAAACTCTGCAGTGGAGCATGCACACTCGTGGGAAATTATTCACAGTGAACTCTTGACAGACAATTTCTATTAAAATTGTTCTCGTGACAAGCTTAATATTGCACAAACAGGGAATCCTAGGATGTTGGAGTAGCAGTAAAGTTGATAACAAAACTTTGCAGACATCTGCTGTTCTCAGCACTGGAAATGATCGTGGCCAGACGTCTTTGAATTAATTATTGAAGTCTCGCTGTTTCCCTTTTCTGGCAGAAAGTTTTGAATGTTGGATGATGTACATCTGTTCGCTGCGATACAACAAGATGGCAGCTTAAAGAGCTTCAATAAAGTATGACAGAGAAAGCGGGATTGGACGACAGTCACATGCACTAACACCTCTCTCTCTCTCTCTCTCGCTCTCTCAGAGGAGGCCGTGAATGAGGTGAAGCGACAGGCGATGTCAGAGCTGCAGAAAGCTGTGTCAGACGCGGAGAGGAAGGCTCATGAGATGATTTCAGCCGAGCGCTCAAAAATGGAGAGGGCGCTGGCTGAGGCCAAGAGGCAAGCGTCTGAGGATGCACTCACAGTCATCAACCAGCAGGAGGACTCCAGTGAAGTGAGTATCACAGACCCCCCACCAACATTTTGCCTAATCCCCCCCTCGCTTGGTCTTAACTTCATTACTCAGTCACTCTTCTGGTTCCTCGTCTTTGCTCCATCCATTACCCCTCACTTTGTTCGCCCTGTCATCTAAGTTAACTTGTTTTCTGTCATCTGTACAGCTGTTTGCGTTTGGTTTGTGCTCCAACATGTTGTCATCATTATTGCAAAAGCAGTCCAGCTGTATGTGCACATTAAAGTAGACAGAGCCAGATGGTTGGAGCAGAGTGCCAGGCTGAGGCCTTTACAGGGCAGTTGACCACCACCTGCTGGTAAAAGAGACCAGTCGCGATGGATCAGGACTTAAAAGTCTTAAATAAAGTCTTTGTGCAAATAGCAGCACAAACTAAGGACTGGAAAATAAAGTACTTTATAAAATGTACTTATTTAAAGTTTCAATATATATCTTAATGTATGAATGAGAACTATGTGCCTCCCTTGAACAAAAAAGAGACTTATTTTTATCAACCTACTCTCTCCCCACTGTCTCACCAGAGCTGCTGGAACTGTGGAAGAAAAGCCAGTGAGACGTGCAGCGGCTGTAACACGGCTCGCTACTGCGGCTCCTTCTGCCAACACAAAGACTGGGAGAAGCACCACCATGTCTGTGGTCAGGGCCTGCAGGGTCTGCCTGGGGGCAGCAGTGTCCCTCTAGGCACCCCCTCCTCCTCAGCGTCCTCCAGTGCGCCCCCCACCCACTCGGAGAGCACTCCTCCAGGACCCTTGGCCCTGGTGGGGCAGAGCAGTATTGCGGGAGGGGCTGGCAGCGGCAGTGTGTCCGCCAGCCCGAAGGAGAGCAGTTCCAGCAGTGCCTCTCGCTCCACGACTCCAGCTACCCCCGCCCTGCTGGACGCTGCCTCTCGCTGACGTCTGATCCTCATTCCTCCCCTATATACTGATGCGACAGTGCTCACTCTCCACTCAAAACCAAACTGAGGAATCTTTTATCACACAGTAATCCCGTTCCTCACTCCCACCTCTTGTCCTTATTTCCTCCATGATAAGCTCTTCTGAAAATCTTTGAACCACTCCATGGTGATGATAATAGACGGTCACCTTCCCCCAGAAACACTTGTTTTGTCTTTGTCTCTTTAACGGCAACACATGCAAAGATGTGTTCAGTCACAGAAACATATCAGATGTGTTTGATTTAAAGATATGACATGAAGTTCTCTCAGTAATGTAAGCACGTTTAATGCTGTCCACAGAAGGACACAAGACAAGGGCTGTGATAGGTAAGGTTTCACTTACGGGAGGGGGTTGGTCGGCAAATTGGCACTTGGGTAGGATTTCCCTTTAATTTAGCACCAATGAGAGAACAGTACAAAACCTGAGATGTGCACTATCACTCCAAACAGTTCACTGATGTGGCACTTATTTCACAGTGCCCTAATAGAAACAGGAAAGGAACATCGTACCTTCTTTTTTTTCCAAATGAATGAGGGAAGTGAAAACCTGTGATGTGATTTTTTTCCCCCCTCAGAAACACAGCTTAGTATTTATTAAATGTTTCTTTCTGGCTTTAAGGGAAAAAACAGAAAGTCCAAATATTCTAAGTAAAGAATAATAGTGACAATGATGATGCTGATGATGATAACGATAATGACATGAGAATAAATTAACTTTAAACTGCTAACTACCTTGCTAGCGAGCCAAGAAAATCTATACCGGACTCACCTCTCTGCACCATTGTGAACCCAAATGAATTCAAAGATGAAAAATAACATGATCCAAACCTTTGTATTACACTGCCAAAGTGAGTAAGTAAGCGATAAGGAGTAGCACTCATCTTATAACCAAACGCAAAGCAACATCACCTCCTCAGCAGATAAGCCAGCCTTGAGAGGACTGTGCTGCAGAGAGGCAGCAGGACGGGACCCAGAGAAAGTCAGACATTCAATAATAACAAAACTGTGACCTGCTTTGATCTGCAGCCGCCTCCTGCAGTCTGGACAAAACTACAGCGGTTCCTCTGCGACAGCCCAGACTAGTGAATATGGACGATGCTGTGAACTTGCCAACTAGAAAGACTTGGATGGAAACCCCGCCACAGTGTGATTTTTTTTGTGAATGGTAACAGAGAGGACAGAGAGAAAAGAAGAGGGAAGGAAAAGCTACACAGCCTCAAAGGAGATGAAGATACAAACATGGCAACGGAGCTGTCAAAAAAAGAAGCTTGAAAACAATGTCCAAGAAGGCATTGCGTACTATGGGAAGATTGTTTGTAAGTCATCTTTTCTAAAGCTCCACAATGGGGTGATATTTCAAGGAATTGCTGTTACCTTTACATTCACTCCCTCCGTTTCCAAAGCATGATGAACAGATAAAAGAGTCTAGTGAAGGGCGGTGTAGACTTTGCTCTCCTCTCTCTTTCTACCTCCCCTCACCCCACACCTCCCTTCTACGCTCTTCCCCAACTACTTGACTCAAGTCTCCCCCTCTCCCTCAGCCTGCTTTGGACAGAGCCTCAGAGCAGCCACGTGGGAAGGGTTTGAACCTGCTTGTAGATATTCTTCCTCCTTTCAAACTTCAATAATGTCTCTTGTCGCTGATGTCCATATGTGCTGCCCTTGTGTATATCCAGAATAACGGACTTTGTTTTGCTTTTGTTACCTTTCAGTTTCCTCCTTTAAGTTTGGGCTGAGCAGTGAAGTCAGAGCAAGGAGGAAGCCCCCCCCCCCATTTGACATATTGTTTGATTTGTTGTATCTATATTGATGAGATGGAACCCTTCTTGTAGATTATTTTGTATTTCTCACATTGTAAGACAGTGAGAGGACGGAGGTGCAATATGAAGAGAATTCAGCTACTGAATGGAACCTCAGCAACTGCCCATAGGGTGTCATATAATATAGATACATATAAATATATTTAAAGTAACATCAGTAACTTAATGTGAATGTACATAGTATTTAAAAAAGGTCCAAAAATGTGTTTGCCAAATAACAGAAACCTTTAAACGTTAATGTCCAGAATAGCATTTTCCCACAGTACATTAGTTTCTTCAAATAACAAATTTCCCCCTTTCTTTCCGTTTAAACACCTCTAATTTTCAGTCAGATCAAAGTGTCATGTGACCCTGAGTGAGCCTTAAGGTGGATGCTTACCGGGCCGCAATGCATGCAGCTGAAAGTGGATGAGAACGGATTAAGGGTGAATGGACACTACTCAATTTGAACAACGACTTAAAATTTAATCAACACAGTTTGCTTTATTCAACCAGATCAGTTTAAATCCTGCAGGTGGGAGAAAGCCCAAATATAATCGATAATTAGAAATTAATTGAAGGCTCCGTTTTCAAATTTAGATCCTTCACACCAAATTAAGAACTTTTCAAACTTTATATCTCATGTCAAGTGTTTGTCACCATCCTTTACTGACTCTCTTTTTTGGTCGTCATCAACCTGTGTGAGTGTGAGCTAGGAGTGCATGTTTCCCCCAAAATGCAGGGAAAATCATCACAGTCGAAGTAAGTGATGTGCCAGTTTTAAGCTACAGTAAAATTCCGAACTAATTTTGAGACAGAATCTTTAAAATATTTCTTTTTCACTGTCAATTGTTTATTTGGTTTTGATATAAGCTAAGGTTCTCAGACAGATCTTTGTTTCCAGGCCAACAGAGTAGCATCACCTCTTAAGGGTTAATTCTGTTTGTTCATTTCTTTACACATACAACAGGATAATAATCCTCTCTGGTAAACATATGTTAAACTGTCTATTCTGTGATCAACATAAAGAGTGAGGCTTGTGTAGCAGCCACACATCTTACATTGATCGTAGTAAGCCCTACATGATGGGCCCCATACACACTTGGACCAAACTTGGAAAAAAAAAGTGTTTTTTCTTTTGCAGTGAGTGACATGAGAAAATAAAGTTTCAGCATTTTTTTCATCAACAGATTGATACATTTACTAGAGACCTAGAATTCAAATGGAATGAGCGAAAAAGGTTCCCCTGCATCCGTGTGTATAGCGTTATGTATGTGTGTGAAATTTACCGTAATATTGTGTTGACCTCAGCCTTTTTGTGTCCGTTCCCCTGATGTCTAATTCCTCCACTTCTACCACCGACCACTTGTCATAACCCCCCTCACACTAGCTACCTCCTGTGACCATACAGCTAACCACCAGGAGAGGTTGACCTGGACTTTGAAAAGCTGGGCTGAGAGCAGACATGGACGCACACTGTTAAAAGCGGTTTCGTAAATCTTTTGTGAGATGATAAAGGGTTGAAAGAACATGCCATTGTCCATAATGTAGATGAATATTTATTCTATCCAGACTTCACCGTATTAAACACATCCAAACAACCAAACTGATACTGCTGGAGTTTAGTAGCAGGTACACATTAAAGTTGCATATTACAGAACCGAACACGGAACGAATCATAACATGCCATTTGTCGTCCAAAACCAATAAAAGCACAGACCAAAGTACTCCTGCATTGCCATAGTGTGGCTTTGACTTGTGTATTGACAGACCAGAAATAATAAGGTTAGAGCTCCACTTCACTACTTAACCAAAGTGTCTGAGATACACATAATCAGGGCACAATAGCAAAGAGCGCACTGAATTCAATGGCTGAGTTTCAAATGTGTAGAACACTCATTCAAGCAATCAAAGCGCTTGTTGTCTACACATTGAATAGAATAGTGCTTCTGTGAAAATAATAGGAGCATTTCCTTTTGGAAATGGCCTGCTGATCGTGCGTTCTTATGGTTACAAAGCCTTGCAGAGATAAAACGTCTACATGGTGGATGTGTGCTTGTGTGTGAATGTTGGCGTGTGTGTGTTTTTGTATAAAAAAAAAAGAAATATTCTTTCTTTTTGTGTCTCTGTACAAAACTACTTGAAACCTTCAGAGCTTTAATGAAACATCCCAGACAGACTATAGTGGCAGATCAATTCAGAATATGTAGCAACAGCTTTGTGCAGTAAAACGCTGTATTTTGACAATATCAGCATTAAAAAAAAAAAAAAAAAACTTTGTGACGGCAGTTCCTTTCAACTCTAAGTGCTTTTGGTGTGCCTCCTTGTCTGTAAGTAAGCCCTCAGATAAACTAAACAAAACCAAATCCAATACACCTGATATAAATGACCAAAATACAACCAAAAGCTAAAACTTTACACTCAGATTACACTTGTGTTAAGGGTTTTGTGTCTGTAAGCTTCATTATAGCACAAAACACATACGACACATGTCAAGGTGTCATACACTTCTCTTTGTGAACATATTATCGATGGCAAACGCATAAGGGCTCTGCTATTGTGAATACCATCTGAGGGTCTCGGAACGCTTTTCATCAGCCCCTTTATTTTGGTTTAACTATGTACATGAATATGGGCAAAACGCATGTTTAGAAAAGACAAATATTAGCAGGATGACATTTGTCTGTCCCTACCCCAAACAATAACTCTAATGATGATGATTCAAGGCTCGTCTGATGTTACAGTGACTCGTCCTTCCTGTGAAACAGGCTCTGATGAACGACTACAGTAGGAAGCTGAAGAGGCAAGTGGATACAGCACTTGTTTTTCCAAAAGCCATGGCTCAGGATGGCCCTGTTTTGAATTTTACATGAATTGAAAAAAGGTTTTATATGTGTAGGGAAGCATTCTATACTGTATTGTGCAATACATTATTACAGAAAAAAAAACATGTTTCTGTAGGAAAGGTTGGCACTTCAAAGATCTTTCTCGTTTTGTTTAATTTCCCTCTTCAAAAGGTCCTGTTGCCGTTTTTAGATGAAGTTAACTGTGCCAGAAGAATTCAATTCTGATTTGTATTTATTTCTTGCATGCTTTCCTCCCTGTTGCTAATACTGCTCTTTAACTGTTCGCTCTGTTGGATGTGTGAAGCTGTAAAACATTCTAATTCAGGTTATTGTCTGTGTTGAACAATGTAACTGTGTAATTAAAACATGAAATGAAGTATTCATCACTCTTGGTGCTTTTCTTCTTAGCTCGCAGGCATATTCTGAGACGACATGCTTATAGGAGGAGCATTTTCTATTGTTACTAAATCATCGCTCACACAAAGCTGACATCAACTTCAGACGCCATTGATTACATCCACTCCAGTCTACAGATCTGTGATCTCAGATAGAAAAAACAGTGTAACTATTACTGTACAAGTACCTTAAGTTCCAAACATTTCAAGTATGTTAGTTTGAGTAAAGGCATTGTGAGATACAGTTGCTGAAAAAAAAAAAGAGTATATAGGGACTTTTGTTTTATTGTGATCTGTATTTGTGAGAGGTACTAGATAATTACTTTATTGATCCTGAGGGAAATTCAAAGCATCCAGTAGCAGTTTACAAGACATGCACGACATGAAACATTTGTTACAAACAAACAACCGCTGTCCCTCCTCCCATACATATATTAACCCGAAACAAAGATTTAAGTAAGCCCCTACATGAATTAAAATTAAACCTGCACAATTAAAAATAGACTAATACAAAGACAAATCTACATAACAACATGCAGGAATAAAATATATGTGCAATTGAAGTGGAACCTATAAAATGTTAAGGAACATTGGTAAATATTAGACCTGTACATAAAAATAAAAGTGTAGACCTTCTGATGTTTGTGTTGTGTATGTATGTACAGCAGTGTCTTAAATGAAGGTAGTGCAGAATGTATTAAAAACAGACTTTAAGTAACAGTCAGTGCAGACATTAAAGGTGCACATAAAATGATTGTCCATTAGGCATTAAAGTGTCCAACTAGGGCTGACTCTTAGGACAGCTGTGCAGATGAGGAAAGAAAAAAAGTGAAAGTTTCCAAGTCCAAGAGTCACAGTGTGCTTTTCCCCTGCCAACAGCCCTGCCTGTTGTACAGTCGTATGGCCAGGGGGACAAAACAGTTCTTGAGTCTTTCTGTGGAACAAACAGAGGAGTGTACAAAATAAACTTAACTAACTTACATTTCACAGAAAGAAAGGGGTAAACAATATTGATCATGGCCCAGTTCATTATAGCTGCTTCCATTTAAGGGTCCTGCCAAATTGAATAGTAAGTATTTAATAATGGATCAGCTTACTAGATAAATGCTAATGCTAGCATTTACAACTTAGCACATTTTTACTATAGGCCTACTGGCAGCCATGTGGTAACCATGTGGAAAACCATTGCTAGGCAACTGCAAATGAACACCAAAAGGTTGCTTGTTCTTTTACAGGTTGCATTATAGCCATCATTTAGCCAAATATAAAATGATGAAAAAAAAAAGACTAGACTAAATGTAGCATAAACATATTAACCATAGACTCTAAATATCACCTTGCCCTTGCGCTTAAAAAACTGAAGTTCATGCAAAACTCAAACCTTTCGGAAAAAATTCAACTTCTGATGTTGTGAATACATAAGAGGGGGGGGGGGCGTTTATATGGTCTCTTCTCGTGAACAGTGTAAACAAGACCCTATTTGAAGGCACCATTAAAACCGAGTCTTAATTAATGATATTAGCGACACCTGTGCTTTTCCTTCAGGTAAACATGTCCGCCATATTATCTTTACCTTGAGTTAGGCTTTGTATCAGTTTTTAAATGGTTAGTCTTTTATAACTTTAAAGAGTAAGTTAAAATGAAACCCTATCTTAAAAATTTGGATATTTCCCGTGATTTTTGACTGCAGATTTTTCACAGATTTTTTTTTTTTTTTTTAAGAATTGGACTATTTATTGCAAATAATTGTAGGACTTAGCATCTGTTTCCTACTTGCAGTACATGGCGGGGGGTGGGGGGGGGGGTAGGTGTGTAATAAGTTGGGGCAGGGATGGGGGGGCTCTCGTTGCTGCGCCACTGGGATGCAGAAACCCTCCTCGAGCGTCTCTCGCTCACGTGCGCGCCACTGTCAATCAATCCGGCGCGTCATGAGTCTCATTCACAGGTGATATCTATTAGCCTACCTCATCTTCGGTCAGGTGTCGCGTCCGTGGACCATCAAGCCGTAAACCCCCTTACCGTGAGAGATATTTCTTGAAGCGGCTTTGGCGAGTTGCAGTGGGCTTTGCAGATGCCATGTTGGAGCAGTAAGCTAACCATGGCGGAAAATCATATGGAGTACGGCTACCTGGAGGGCGAGTCCATGGGGGAGCATTTCGCCGAGGACCCGGTGGGTATCATTGTGTTTGCAGTGAATCCAAACGGGTTGCCATCACGTTTATACATTCAGTAGGGCTACTAGGTGAATGGAAGTCTAAGCGCAAATCGCAGCCGTGCTATTTAATGTTAACACTGGGACACGTTTTGTGCAGAGAACAGCATCAATGAGCCACATCCTGAATAACATGCAAGGTGCATGGAGCTAGTCAGGTGCACTGCATTGCATTGTGGCTAAAGCACAGCCACTATCTGGTGGTTAAAAATCTTGTTTCAGGCTTAGGTTTGTTGTCATCATACCTCAGGCCAGCTATATGTGAAATCTATGACTCATCCGGAATTTCTTTGTATTTAATTTATTCCATGGACATGCCAACATCTTTGGGAGCATTTGCTGCTTTCATAAGATGTTCAAGTAGAATATTTCGTTCATAAGTTGTCTATAGCTTAATTCCTTTTTTATGGTTGTTTAATTTTCAGATAGTCAACCAACTCAGTCAACAAATTGCTCAATTTCATTAAGAGACCAGCGTGTATCTTTTCAATTATCATAGTTGGTTCACGACTAGTTTGCAAACTTCAATGAAGGCTCACAGGCGACAGAATATTAAGGTGATTGTTGACCACTTTAAACGCACCTTGTCAAAACTACACAATGAGCGGTGTTTACACAGAAGATGTGTTCAAAAAGGTTTAGATACCTATTGTGAAACCTTTGATGACCCATTGTGTGCCCAAGCTTTTTCCAACCCAGTAACCCAACTCTTCCATCTATGTCTTCTTGTATTGTCTTGCTTCAAATGTAGTATTCTGCTGTGGTCAGCAGTTATTGAATGTTTCTCTTTCCGTGTTTGTGTGTCTCAGGAGCTGGCCGCCATCAAGGCCAGGGTTCAGGAGCTGGAGATGGAAGAAGAGACGGAGAGACTGAAGGAGGAGGAGGATAGGTGTGATGCAGCGGAGATGCAGCTCCTGACGAGCTCCCCCCGACCCGGTGAGACAGCCTGGGGGTCTTATCCGCCCCATGGTTTGTTATTGTGTCACATTGTTGTACGGCTAAATACTGATTATGCATTTGGGAAGCCTCGACAGCGAGTTTCTGGCCAGGTGTGTAGCATCGCAGCCTCCAGGCAGGTGAGGTAACTGCATCCTTCACCATCTGGCTAACACCTGGGACGCTTCACATGTGCCTCATCACTGCCCAATGAGACGGAGCAGTGAGCCCCACAGAACCAGAAGGGTCCTCCTTGCTGCCCGTGGCTATTTTCTGCCTCTGTGCTTCTCCTCATCCCTTTCAAACCCCCCTCTTCCTGCCTTTTAGTTCCTCCTCAGAACAGAGATGTAATCAGAGGGGAAGCGAGTTGTCCTTTTGTTGTCATGATGCTAGAAATTGATAATTTATTGAATGTTCTTTTACCTGAAAGAACGTTACATATATTGGATCAAATGGGCAAAGAAGTTTATGCATTTGTTTTTCGTTTTCCCCACAGGACCTTTCTACAATATGACCCCCGAGGAGAGGATAGATGCAGACAATAGATCGGTCTATGTAGGAAATGTAAGTCTTGAATAGCGTTTTTTTTATTCCTTCATGCTCAGCAGGGTTTTGTTTCTTCTGGTTTGATACATTGTTTATTTACAAATCCCAGGTAGATTATGGAGCTACGGCAGACGAGCTAGAGATCCATTTCAATGGCTGTGGTCCTGTCAACAGAGTTACCATCCTGTGTGACAGGTTCTCAGGCCATCCTAAAGGGTGGGTTCAACCTGTGTATATACATTTTAACATTTATGTTAGACTACAGTAACATAAAATAAAGCTTTTCACATGTTGACATTCCAGTATATTTATTGTTTATCTTCCCCTTCACAGGTTTGCATACATTGAGTTCTCTGATCGAGACTCGGTGCACAGTGCCATTGGTTTGCATGAGACCTTGTTTAGAGGGAGAGTCCTCAAGGTAAGAAGTCTTTTACTAGACAGCCTGCAGAACTGTGGTCCTGATGACACTTTAGGTTAGGCTAGAAAAAAAAGTTGGTAGTTGTTATTTTAGGGGAAGAAACATAAAAGTGGTAAACAAACTTCAATTTTGTTTGGTAAAACTAATTCGAACAAATTTTTTGCCTGCAACTTAGAACGTCCTACTATTAGGATTCATTATTATTCTTGCTGAACCAAAACGTATACTGTTGTTGCACTGTAGATGTTCATATGGTTTGGTGAAATTAAAGTTAAACGTGTAAGGCCATGTTATTCAATCTTGGCTTAATTTTTGCTCCAAGTTACTTTTTAAGGCTAAACAGTCACAGCACCCTGTAGGTTTATATCTTTTCCTTGCTTTTTGTAGATCTTAAAGTGCTTAGAGGACAGTTAGGTTCTTCTGAACTATCATGGTTAAAATGCAAAGGAAATATTTAATTGTTCAGTAATCATTCATCCTAAACAGTGATGTAAAAAAAACATTTTTTTTTTTTGCAGGTAATGCCCAAGAGGACCAACATGCCAGGCATCAGCACCACAGACAGGGGAGGACACCGCGGCGGCCAATCCAGAGGCGGCAGAGGCAGAGGTGGTTTCCGTCCACCACGATACCAGAGCAGCTCTCGAGGCAGGTTCAGGTACCAATCGACCAGGCCGCAACATCAAACGCCCCACCCTTACTACGGAGGCCCCTCAGTGGGAAAGAGACAGTGGGGACACATGGACTACCACGAACAGGTGCCTAAACGTTATCCGTGTCTTCTTCTCATCACCCCACCGTCAGAGGAGTTGGGGGCAGGGTCAAGTGGACAGCACTACCCTCAACAGCGTTAGCTCCACCCACAACAACTAAAGAAGAGTGGGTTAAAAAGAACTGACGGTTTTAAAGTGTTCCCAGGCATTACTGAGTTAAGCATCATGTGAGAGAAGCAAGAAGGATCGATGAAATGACTTCTTTTTTTTTTTTTTTTTAATTTGCATCCCTGCATCAATCGTTCCAAGTCTGTGAGATGTGAAAAAGAAGTCTGGGGTCAGCGGTGTTGCATTACAAGCTTCTGTGAATGCATGGGACAATCCTAAATTGCATCTCTAACTGATTTTACAAACTGATGCGAATGTATTGTGATTTGCCTGCTATGTCACGTATAAATCCTCCCTATTGTATAACTTATAAGTTCTTTGCTATGTAAGTGAATGAATAAATAAAACAATTGATCTGTTAAGTTAACACACGCAGGAGGTTGGAACAACATTGCAGATTTATTTCATAGGCATTTCTGTAAGCAAGACAAAATGTAAACAAAAATTTCAATAGGGGGTTTTCTGTACAGGGGGGGGTTCAGAAGAAGTGATGAAATGGGACTCAGCCGGTTTGAACCATCATTCCAGATACGATGCCATCAAAGGCTCTGCAGAAGAATTGGTAAAAAAAAAAAGATTAAATGCATCGAAAGATCACAAAAATATCAGTAAAATCTCTTAGGGAATAATTCATTTGAGGCATAAACCTACTTTGACTGAATGGAGTCGCCAGGATTGTGGAATGGGTTGCACATTACATCTGTGAAAGAGTTGTGTAATTTTCTGAACATCTGCAGTAAAAAAATAAAGTTAATTCTTTACAAAGTTTAAAAAAAGTAACCAGCATGTCTCAACCTATAATGTGGGGTGACATCTTATTTCAGTATTGGCGTTAAAAGTCTGAGTTGGCATCCTGCAGTAAGGTGGGGATTGTAAGCTTGACCATGATATTGCACTGAGTAAGTAAAATTGTAATTCCAAGGAATCATGGACAACACTCTGCGTTGAAGTCTATCAGCATTGGCTCTTCTAATCTAATTGAAGCTTGAGGCACAGGGCAACACAGTAATTCAGAGAATGTATACATACTGTTCAACTAGACTGAATAAATTAAAGACAGAAGTAAAGATTCTCTAGCTGTGTAATAAATAACGTATTTTGAAGAGTAATGTCTGGACTGCATTCAATTTAAGGTAAGACAAGCCAAAAGTTAGACTCAACTTACACTTCTGATTTCATTGTCACGTAATGACGTATTGGACGAGTCCACAACGATGACAAATTTCACCTTGGAGTTAGTGACATACCCATATCTAGTTTACCAGTTAAGGATATTTGGTTGTAAGTTTTTTTCAAGTCCCATACATAGCCTAAATATTATGTTTCTCCTCAGTGCAAAGAAATGCTTTTATCATTAATTGTATGTTCAGTGATTCCAGGTGCAATAACAGGTGTACTACTTTTAAAACACATGTACTCAAATTCATATTAAATGTAATATCCTGACTAAAACCATTCTACTACAATAAGGTCATTACACTGGTCTACAGCTCTGACAATGTGGGCATACAAACAATAAGGCTTTTGGTATATTTCTTGATTTGTAGTCATGTAAGTGAGATGTAGAACAAATGTGCTAATAATAATAAAAGCTGAAAACTGAACTGCACAGTTTTACAGTGTAAACCTCAAAGTAGAGATTATCTAATTAGAGACAACTCTTGTGGGTTTACCTAACCTGTCAACTTAAAGAAACAAGGATACACTTTGTAGTCTTCAGTGGGGTAGAGCAGACCCAGGTACAGCTCTCTCTGGTCCCCTAAAGATTTGCCCACCGCAGAGATCTTCTCCTCTACAACATCCAGAGAGGTGTGCACTGTGTAGTGAAACTTCAGCTCATTTTGAGTGGGAACACTGCGGATATACAGCGGGTAGTTCTGGGAAATGACATATTCAACGGGGAAAAAAACGTAAACAAACCTTGTAAAAAAAAAAAAGAGGACATTTTTAGTATCTTGCACAGTTTAAAAACGGTGTGGAAATAGAAGAATGCTAATGTAGCCCGATGAGGTTAGCTCAGTGAGGGTATCTCTACATCTAGCGAACACAGATAATTGACCTTTGCTAAGAGATAATGTTAAGACTACGTAAAACATTTGGACATTAAAAAACAAGTGAAATATAACGCCATGGACACGTAACATAAGCAATCGTTACCTCTTTCGCGATCACTGCTATGCACACCGCCATGTTAGTGTTCCTCCTCTGGCTGTCAGATGATGTCACGTGATGTGGTGCGTTCCCATAATGTCGGAAATACGAAACTTATTTTTTATTTTATTAAGTATACACACAGTGTGTTCTAATCATAAACTGTAAAGGTTTGAACGTATGTATTTTATTTACTTATATTATTGGTAAGTTATTTTGCAGAGAAAAGTTTCAGTTACATGGTTATACTTTTTGTTGTTGTTGACAGCTTTCGAAGTTTAAATCACACGTACCGTATTTATCAGGGGTCCACGAATGCACCATATACCAAAGGAGCACTTTTTATAATGTTTTTTTCATACAGTTTGAATTTGTTTTCCTTTAATGACGCCATAGAATTCATACTTTGATAAAACTAAGACTAAATTCAGCTTAAGAAAGGAGAAAATCTCAATTAATTCAATTCAAAACCTCAGAACAATTGCTGTACTGTGTATGCGCAAGCGCTGCGCTGGAGACCCGCACGAAGGCAAACAAAAACACTTCCTCCTCGAAGTTGATGCTCATATGACTAACTTGGAGCGAAGCAATGCGAGTCATGTCTCCTATAACTCTGACTCTCCTGAGTGCATTAATATGCTGTTCTTTGACAGACAAGCCACCAAAAGCTTCATCTCCAAACATCATCATCATGCTCATGGATGACGTAAGTTTCTCTTATTTCTGACCAACCTGAGTCTTACTGTCCTGTCAGGCAATGAATGACTTTTGACATCCCGAAATATGCTCCACTGTCTCTTTAACTATTTAACCCTTTACCTCTTTGTTGATGTTTTTTTTGTTGTTGTTGCGTTTAGTTGTTTGGTTTTTTCTGTCTGTGGGTCCAGAGGAGCTCAGTACATTACAATAATCACTGAACATTCAGCCTGTAGCCTACACAGTGTCTTTGTCTCTGCTTTGCAATTTGTACAATTATTCTGATTTAGGACTAACACATCTACCCACCCCAACCCCTTCTTCTCTTCAGATGGGTTGGGGGGACTTGGGGGTGTTTGGTCAGCCCTCTAAAGAAACACCCAACCTGGATGCCATGGCTGCTCAGGGCATGCTGCTACCAAATTTCTACACAGCCAACCCTCTGTGTTCTCCATGTGAGTCAGCTTAAAAAGGTTGTTTAACATAACCTGAACCTGCAGTTCCTGTTTCTCAATATGCTAGGTTAATGTCATCGCTGTTGCAAGCTTTTGATCTTGTGTTCTGCTTTTATGTAAACATCATTAAAATGTATTTGGAACACTTAATTAATGGACCAAAAAGAAAAAAGGTTGCTCATTGACCTCACATGTAACATCATTTTTAAAAGGTAATGTGATTAAAAGTTGCAGATATCACATTTTCTACAAGCTGAAATGTTAAGATGTTTCCATTTGTCCACTGAGAAAAACAACAAAAATTAGTACATTTTTTTAGTAACTTCCAAATTTTTTATTTTTTTTTACAAATGACTTAAATTTGACAGATCAATGCATATCTCTAATTTTTTTAAGTAATGCCAGGAAGTGGACTAACCTATCCTTTATGTATTTGCTAGTATAGAATACCAGCATGCAGACATCCTAATAACTTTTTTGCTTTCATTTTAATGACAGCCAGAGCTTCACTTCTCACTGGGAGGCTGCCTGTCAGAAACGGTTTCTACACCACTAATGCCCACGCCAGAGACGGTACCCTCAGTTATAGCCCATCTTTACTGTGCATATAATCCAACTTTCAAATAATTTGATTTCTGCAATCATTCAAGCTTTTTATTTCAAATGGTTCCTGTTTTTTTATAGCATACACACCTCAGGAGATAGTGGGAGGAATCCCTAAGGAGGAGATTTTGATACCCCAGATGTTGAAGAAAAAGGGCTACATCAGCAAGATAGTTGGCAAGTGGTGAGCTCCTTACCTCTCCTTCACACAGTTTCTTTCTTAAGGTATTGATGTTTATAGGTGATGTTAAAGTTCACTGCACAAGTTGGCTGTTGCTCTAGAGGAAGCCTGTAAACATACTAAAAGTTTCCTTGAGCCGCACAGCCAACCTGGATTACTCCTGATGGTTTGGCCAGTACTTAGCATGTCTGGAAGTTTGAGTGTGAATGGGTAAAACAAAATGTAAAGAAGAAAAATGAATGCAAGCATTATGTATATGTAGTTGGATTTTTGAAAATGCATAAACAAGCTTAATGAATTGAATGACACCACCACTTTTCACTAATATTGTGAAAATTAAATATTTTAAATGCTTTTTCAAATGATCCCATATTAAGACAGTTTATCACCAATCACGGTTATTTGACTGATGGTCATTTTGTACAACAAAGCCTTTGAGTCCTGAATGTGAAGAATGTTGGAGAGGGATAATTCATCACAGCAACATTGTCCTCCCTTTAATCCTCTAATGCACCTTGGAAAATTACTCTGACATTTTCTAAATAAGCATATTAAGACTGATTATCTATTAAAATCAATATATATGTTAAATATTTTTGTTTAGTTCATCCACAGAAGAACAATACTTGCCTACTTGACTTTGGATGCGTGTGTATGCTCCTATGTTTTAGTTAAAAGGCTACCACTCAACAAATAAGTTTGCTTTGATTGATTACATATTGTTCTTATTTCAAAATTCAAGCTGAAGTCAAACATACTTGTGTACCCTATAAAAATGAAAATGAAACCAGTATGTAGTACTTCTGAAAACTTGTGTTTATTGGAACACACATTTGTAGCTTTAGCCAAAATCAAAACAGAGTGAGGCTCCGGTCACATTGATCCCATAATGTTTGTCACTGCAGGCATCTGGGCCACAGACCTAAGTACCTGCCCCTGGAACACGGTTTTGATGAATGGTTTGGAGCACCTAACTGCCACTTTGGACCCAACAACAGCAGCAGAGTACCAAACGTCCCTGTTTACAACAACTCTGAGATGGTTGGCAGGTACTATCACACACAAGCACTCAGATATACATGACAGCAAACAAAAAAAGGCTGAAAATCTATAAAATCCTTCTCCCCACATGACTCAGTGGAATAGTGTGGCTGGCTGCTCCTCTGGATGAGCTGAGTGTCTCCCCTCCTCCTACTCTGTACCAGCTGTGCTTGTGTATTCCATTTTCCGCCCATTTGTTTTCCCCAAAACAGCCATATGTGTATTCAGGGTCATTGGAACTGGCAGCCGGGCGTGTTTTTCGCTTAGCCGTGGGTTTAATCAGCGCTGCATACCTGGGCCCAGGACAGACGTACACACACACACACATAGACACGTAAACACAGAGACACACACACGCCCTCCAGAGACGGCAGGTTGTGTTGGCTGGATGCGAAGACACCTGGAGGAAGTGAAGCGTACAAAAGAGAGATGCCTGTCACTGCTTCTCTGCTCGGCGCTCCACGCTTCAGCAACGCCTCATAACAGTTCCCTCTGCTCAGCTCGCCTGAGACGTCTCAAATATGCCTTTCACAAAAATCTCCCGCAAACACACGCCACAAGAGGAAATTTGCTGAAATCAATAGTTTTTTTTTCACAAGATTTATTTTTGGGCTTTTACTTTTGTTTATATAGGACAGTGGATATAGTAGGAAATTGGGGGAGAAAGAAAATGGAGAATGACATGCAGGAAATGAGCCACAGGTTGGACTTGAACCCGGGGCTGTCTGCTTGTTGAACTATAGCCTTCATATATTGGACGCGACCTATCCGCTAGGTTCACCGCCCTGAAATCTACTGTTTCACTGTTATTGTTTTGTCAGTTTAGAAGCAGATTGAACGATCAGGTCACTGTAAATTAGTCGTATATAAAACGGTTGAAAAAACTGAAGTGAAATGTTTTTCCGATAGGAAGCCCAGGTTAAACTCATAATGAAGGTTCATTTCATTGATCTTGTCAACCCACTTGGTTTCCAGATTATTTGAGGAATTTGAGATTAACAGGAAGACAGGAGAGTCCAACCTCACACAAATCTACTTGCAGGTAAGTGAAACCTTTTATGTCTCTTCCGAGCATGTCTTTATGTTAGATTGTATTACCCAGTCAGTGCAACAGGAATGTAGTTCCACTGTTCCCTAAGTAAAGCAATTAGCTGAATAGAATGGAATAGAATATGATTCAATGTTATTGTCCACCGGGGTTTAAAACAGTCTAGAAAAAAGCACAAAAACATAAAAAATGTGTTTTTGAAATATTCAGAATACAACAGAGCCTGATTTTCCATTTTGCTATTATTGAGATTTTCAACTGTTGTGCAAAGTCATCTTGATTGTCTTTGGTGCCAACATGAATACCTCCCATTCTAAAGTAAAGAGACAAAATACAACCTGTCACTTCATGTGCTTGAAAAGTGTTAGATCGATCAAATAGAGCTTTGTAAAGCTAATATTAGCATGTACCATATAATTGGACTAGACTGTTTCATTACTTACTTGTAAGTAGATCAAACAAAATTAAACTTCAAAGTAACAGACACGCCATTTATTTCTGGTTTGTCTTAAAACTAGTTTTGCCAGCATCTTTGGCAGCTGACTTCAGACTACTTTCCCTTGATGGAGTGACTGCATGTGTGAAAATGCACAACAATGTTCCAATAACTACTTATGAACCTTGGTGTCCTAATGGTTCTTACTGTAGGACACCTTTAATATTTTTGTTGGACATTTGTCATCATCCCAAAATATATGTTAGCTTTGCATTAAATAGATGGTCAAGTTGTTTGACCTTTGATTCTAACAGACTGGAAACTGAATGTACTACACATTTTACAAACATAGAACTAGTATTTGGTAATCAAGAGAGAACAAGTGTTTCTTTTTATCAGGCTTGACATCAGTACTGTAAATTAGGCAACAGTTATTCTTTTGAAATCTGCTCTGATAGTGTTGTAACACTAGTGTTGTAATACTCGACCTCTTTTTGAAGGTCTCGGTCTCGCATCGAATTAAAAACGTTTTTACTCTGCCTTGTCTCGGACTTTAAAACAAGACGAGTCAAGGCCACCACTGATAGGCTATTTTTCCACATCATTACTGGGATTAGAAGGAAAACACACCTTTCTAACAACAGATAACTTCAGTTAATATTTAGTTTAATATTTTTCCCCCCTGGCTACAGCCACAACCTTCCCGGTGTTACGGTCTAAGTGAGTGAGTGACACGCCCCCTGCACACTCGCAGGAGTGGATGGAGACGACTGGAGTAGAGGCACCTGCAGAAACTCAAATCTTAACAAGCCTCTTCATCTCATCTAGTCACAAATATCTGTTAACACTTTATATAAGCAACATTCAACTGATATAAACCCAGATAAACATCTTATAAAAATATATAAAAACAAGTTTATCTGGGCTTGTCAGGTGAATGTGGCTTTTAATAAGTATAAATAAATAAAGTTTATTCATATTTTATCATTATTATTTTTGACAAGAAGTAAGATGAACAAGCTTGCTAAGATTTGAGGGTTTTTTTACGTTGTGGTTCCTTGCAAACAAAGGTGCAGAGATTTTGTTTGTTGCTGTAACATTTATTTAAAAGCAAACTTAAACTAAAAAAAAAACTTTTATCTTGTTCAATCTTGCGATGATTTTCATTGATATTCATCGTCTTGGTTCTGCATCGGTCTCACCCTGCCTTGGTCTTCACTCTGTCTCAAACCCTAAATGTCTTGGTCTCGGAGCACTCTGGTCTCGGTTAGTGTGGTCTTGTCTACAACACTATGTAACACTCTCTCTCTCTTACCACTGCTACAGGAAGCTGTAGACTTCATTCGCCTTCAGACTGAAGCTGAGCGGCCGTTCTTCCTCTACTGGGCACCTGATTCAACTCACGCTCCTGTCTATGCCTCCAAAAGCTTCCTGGGGAAGAGTCAGCGAGGACGGTACATTACATCCTTTCTTAACTACTCTCTTATTGACAGACAATCCTGCAGATGCATTTGTATTTTAATGAATGAATGATTCATCAAATAATATTGATTATCTGTGGCCTGTAGGTATGGTGATGCAGTGATGGAGCTAGACGACAGTGTCGGTCAGATATTGTCTCAGCTGAAGAGTTTGGGTGTAGACGATAATACCTTTGTCTTCTTCACCTCAGACAACGGGGCTGCCGTGATGTCTGGCCCAAATGAAAGTAGGAAACCAGATCAGATTCACACACACAATTTGTTTGTGTGAAATCAAGTTGGATCATTTATTTATTTTATGTTATTTCTGTATGTGTATGATTTTCTGTGTTGCTACATGTATTTTTCTGTTTCTGACTCCTCAGGTGGCAGCAACGGGCCGTTCCTCTGCGGGAAGGAGACCACCTTTGAAGGAGGCATGAGGGAGCCCGCCATTGCCTGGTGGCCTGGACACATCAAAGAGGGCACGGTGAGAATACCCCTGTGATTTGCAGCTTTTCACAAAATCAAGCCTTCAAAAAAAAAAAAACAGCAACATTGATCACATAATCCCTGAAACCTTCTCTTGTGACTAGATTATATCACAGGATCCAGAGCTACAGTAGGGTTTCATTTTTGTTTTGAGCATTGTTGCTCCCTAATGTTCTTCCTATCAACAAGTACCAGGAGCTGACATGTTGTCTGTAAAGCTGCAGGCTGTAAAGGACTGTAAAGCAGGTTGAGAGTAAAGGAATAATTATTGCACTAATCCTCTCCTTTGAATGATTGTTGCTTTTTGTTTCACGCGTGTATCATTTTCCTCTTTACATGTGCACACTCTGATCTGCTGTCGCTGTAACCAGTTAATCTTGACTTTGTTAAACTTCTATCGAGTTATTTAACTCCCCGAACAGCAAAGATAGACTGTGTGATTGCAGCCACCAAGCGTGTGGGCGCTTATTCCCCTGTTTCCTCAAATATATTTGGCTGGAATTAACGCCCCAAACTCTCTCTCTCATTCCCCCCCCCACCCCCCAACCATCCCCAATCCCCCCCCCCCCCCCCCCCCACCCACACTGTGATCCTCTAAGCCTGTGCGTTCTGCAAATGACTTTTAATTGTATTAGGGGCAGCTGTGACACGGGGCTGTGACGCAGAGGGATTTTGTGGAGGAGCGAGCGGAGGCTGCAGTCTGCAGTAAGCCTTGCCCCTGGCTCATCTCACAGGGGTGTGCTGGGGCCTGATAGCACAGTGGAGCAGCGAGGGAGAGGGGGATTGGGAGCGTCTTAAGCGGCTAATCTGTTTGTGTGTTTGCTGAGGTTGGATTGAGCTGTAATGAGGACTTCAGTATCTGAATATGCCAGGCGCTCAGGATAAAGGAACGGAGGGGTGGTGGGAGGGGGGGGATACAGGGAAGGAAGCAAGGAAGAAGTAAAAGAGGTGGCTCTTGGAGAAAAGAGAAAGAAGGAAGAGGAGTGCTAAAGACTCTGACGCTGCCAGACTGCCAGGAACGTCTATGTTTTCCCAGGGCTTTGCTGCACCTGTGCCACGTTATAATTGACCAGTGTGTGTGTACATGTCATTTATGCTTGATTTTACACACATATGTAGGCTTTTTATATTTATGTTGGATTAGTTTTGTGTGTCACCGATAGCTTTCTAGACCTTGCAAAGAGACAGAGACGTAAACAAAATCCCTAACAATGCAGAACATCATCAAACACCTACATGTGTGTATGCATTGCAGTTGCAGCTGTAGGCACAAGGGTCGATAGATCCTCCCCAAAGCTCTCTGGGGTTGTGATGACAAAGCTGCATTGTTGGAGCTTCTGTACTCTCCAGCTTTGGATTTATTATTCAGCTCTGCTTGGGAGGGAGGAAAGACCAGGCAGACACAGGGTTGCCCTCGTCTCTTGTTTTGTTCTTTTCTGAAATCTCTGTTGATCTGTGAATTGAAAAGTCCATAAGCTATTTTAGCTGCAAAATGCTGGAGACAACAAAAAGACATCCACGTCTTTGTTAGAGAGGGATTTCAGCAGGTTTTTATTGTGCCAACAGATGCATCCTATACTATCAAGATGAGGAGACAAGTTTGAGGGGGATATGAAGTGGAATGACCACTTCAGTGTGCATTTCCACCTGTGTTAACCTGACAAAAAGCCCTGTGCAAGAGTGGTGAAACTAATAATTGACTGTGTGAATGTGCAGGAAATCATCAATAAGCCATTCACTCATGTTCAGTCAGATGTCCTGGAATGAAGCAGTGTGGTTGCAGGTGCAGATTCAGCATTCTCCCAGTGCCGAAGTAGGGGTGAGAGGGGGGGGGATTGCGGGATGATGATGGAGGGTGGTGGTGGTGGTGGTGGCTGTAGGAACAATGGGGAGGTGGTCTGCTGTGGGGGGGTGTCGGCCCCACAATGTTGTCGAGCGTCACAAGTCCTTTTGTTGTGTTTTATCAGGTGACAGACACACAGGCAGTGGCAGAGACAGGGATGGAAGCACTGCCTCCTCAGATAACCAACATCAGCACTCACAATATAGAAAGAAATGAGAAAACGGAGAGGGGAGGAAGGGAATGTGACATTAATAGAGAGTGATGAGTCAGTCAAAAGAGAGGAAAGGACAAAAGATGAAGAAAGAATGAAGCTCAGTGTAGACTGCAAAAGAGGGCAGAAGTCTGAGTGTGAAAGTTTTAGTTTTGGTCTTTCCAATTATTACCAACTAAATGTCAGTTTTGCTTCCTCTTGTGTCCTTTTGTCCTGTCTTATTTAGAGGTCTGTGTGTGTCTGTGTGTGGGGGACTTAAAAAAAAAAATGAAGTGATGGTCTAAATCTGTTAGTGTGTGTGTGTGTGTGTGTGTGTGTGTGTGCTAGAAAGAGTGTCTGGATGTGAAGATAGATCATGGAATGCATTGCAAAGCCTTTTCTGTGGCTAGTTCTGTGGATACAGAAGAAAAGGGAATTCATTTCAGTGCTTAGAAAAGCTTGTGTGTGCGTGTGTGTGTGTATGTGTATGTGTGAGAGTGTGTGTGTGTGTGTGTGTGTATGCATGCTGGCTGCCGATAGGAGCACAGCAGCACATGGTGGTGCAGCTGCAGAGGCCTGATAGCGCTATCTGATTGTGAGCGTGCCGTCTCCCTCTAAGGCTCGCTCAGGAGAGAATGGAACGGAAGATCAAGGATGACAGCGAAAAAATGGCATTTTATCTGAAAATAGTTCAAAGTTTATAAATAAAATAAAGCTTTTCACTGGGACTGGGAGAAGGAGATAAAACACCAGCGAGCTCCAGCCTCAGCCGCCTGCTTGCCCGGGCCTCGTCCTTTCCTCACTCCCTCTCCTCTTTCTCTTCATTCCTCTTTTTCTTCACTCCTCTTTTTTTCTTTTTTTTTTTTGCATTCCCTGCTAAAAAACTCATTTAGACAGTGAGACATTTTGGAGGTTTGTATAACAAACCTGGAAGCAGAGATTAGAAAGGAAACTAAAGAAATGCCGTTATTTCCTGCAAGTGTGCACACAACCACACAGAAATGATCATGGCAATGACTTGTTACCTGGTTTACGTTCATAAAAACGTATCTCTTTTTTTGCGCAAGCATGCATGAAAGAGCACACTTGTGGTATTCCCTTCTTGATTCATGAACTCATGTGAACTCTTTTCCACTAGCTGCAAAAACGTGAGGAATACTATCATTAACAGCTGTATCTATGTCTAGCATGTAGCTTCATGTGTAATTCTTAGCTCCTTAAGAGGACACTTGGCTCGGTCTTATTTCTTCAATGTTCTTCACTTTCTCAACTCACGTCTCACAGGTTGTATCACATAAGTTACCAAACTGCAGGCGGGGGTTGGGTTTTCAGACTCTTCGTTCTGTTGCAGGTGAGTTTCCAGTTGGCCAACGTGATGGACCTGTTCACCACCAGTCTGGCTCTGGCAGGCGTCAGCCCTCCTGACAACAGAACCCTTGACGGCCTGGACCTGACACCAGTTCTGCTAAAGGAACCACAGACAATCCTAAACAGGCGAGTATACTGTAGCTGTTACAGGATCCCATTTTTAGGTTCATGATTACATCCCTAAGTGGGACAGCCAAATTAGTTTTATTAAGAAAGAAGAAACGTGTGTGGTTCCATTTCAGAGAGATGGGTCACCACCATTGGAATGGACATGACATATTTCACATATTTCACAGTAAAATATACAAACCACTATTGGAATGAATGCTGGGAAAGTTTGTTCATAATGAAGCTTGTGGTTTCCAGTGGAACATCCTGAAGTGACTTTTATTGATTTAAATTGAATGTTTTGCAGAAATTTTGATAAGTTGTAAAACGTGTTCCCATGACTTTTCTCAAGGAATTTGTATTAAGATTTATTTTGGGGCTTTTTGCTTTTGATGTAGAGGACAGTGGACAGAGTAGGAAACCAGAGGGAGAGAGAGTGGGGAATGATATGCAGTGAAGGAGCCACAGGCCAGACATGAACCCGGGCCGCCCGCTTGGAGGTCTATAACCTGAATATGTACATGAGGCGCGACGTATCCGCTAGACCGCCTGCATTTTCAAGTCCACATTTTCTCTTGTCCGAATTATTTTTTAATGACATATAGCCTTGTTGAACCAATGACTTACCGATCAATACAGCTGTACACTTACATCGTACTAGTTAGCAAATGCACACTGACCCTTAACACTAGAATGATGAAGACTGTAAACATAATACCTGCTTAACCTCAGCATGTTGCATTGTGATGGTAAGCATGTAGACATAAAGATGTTTGCATTTAGGTTAAAAACACTTCTATGTAGTTCAGCCTCATGGAGCTGCTGGCATGGCTGTGGGCTCATTATCTTGTTTTCCATGTAAGGGGGGAGAATTCCTAATTATTGATAATTTGATCCTATTTTTTTAACAGAAGGTAGGTTATAAAGTTCATGTTTAGTCATACATGTTAGAAAGAGGAAACCATGATATCATCTCATCTTCAACAGGCCAATCTTCTATTACCGGGGGAACGAGCTGATGGCTGTGAGGCTTGGACAATACAAGGCTCACTACTGGACCTGGAGCAACTCGTGGGAGGAACTCAAAAAGGTAAAACTCCCTTTAAACACCAGTTTTTTAAGACGCCACTCGGTCCCATTTCTACTTCCTCATTTGTTGATTTGCATTGCCTCATTCTCTCTCTTTGTCTCTCCTAATCTAACTCAAACACACAAACACTTTCACTGTCGGTGTTATCTTGAAAATGGCTCATCAGTTGACTGCTGTGTACATCAGTGCGTAATGAATATTAATGAAGAGCCCCCACATCAGCAGACTTACATCATTCATCAGCCGGGTTGACTTGTTTGTTCTAACTCCAGTAGAGATTTTCTTCCTCTCCATTTACATACCGACATTTCCTGCTGCACACTTGTTCTTTTTGGCACCATGGGGCTCAAAAAGAAAAGCGATGCCAGCAGTATCTCTCTGTCATAATTACATCGACTCTGTTCTGATTAAATGCATTAGAAACCATGTGAAATTTGAATCCTGAGACGCAAGACAGTGTGCTCTGTCTTTTTTCTCCCCTGTCCATAAAAAAAACATGTCCTCCTGTCCTCCCTCTGAGGCTCTGCTTTTCCTGTGATCCAGTTTGTTTTATGCCCCATCGGTCGCTTAAATTGCTCTCTCCTTCAGGGCTGCTGAATCAATAGCAGCCTCCTTTATCAACTCATGTGAACTGAAGTGGAACTTCACAAATAATGGCGTCTGATTGCCTGCGAGTTGCCTATCGATTGGTGTGTATGGGTGTGTGTGTACATGAGAAAGAGAGATAGGACAAGAGAAAACATGTACATGTATGTTCTGTAGTCTATATAAAAGGCGATGCTTGTGTGCTTTATGGAGCTCCTATGAGTTAAGTTCACTTTATATGCTTCATGGCATCATGGCTGCATCATTGAACTGTCCATGTCTTGTAATACATTTATGTAAACATTATTTCAGGAAACAGACGGCTCACATTGAGCTGTTTCACACAGTCTAACAAGGCATGAAATACTTTTAAAACTAGACTGTCTTGACCCTTTAAATCCCTTTTATATGCTTCAATTTAACATTTCTCAGAGCGGTTACCCACAATCACACCTAAAAATCCAGTTTTTCCTGCTTCCTCTAGAGCTTTTGTAAATACTTAAAAATATAATTTGAGTTTCTTGGCCCATGGTGAAAATAAACAAGGGAAGATTTGTGTCTGTGAAGAAGAACAAAATTACAGGTTAATAGCTGAGAGATGTGTCGCTCTGTTCTGGCGGTGTTCACGCGGCTCAGCCATGAGGAAAATGAGAAATTTCACAGGCTTAAATGGTTCTCATCAAACTCTCTTGAGGCAGCGCTGGGATGTTAATATTGCAAAATATAGTTTTGTCGTTGGCTTGGGTTCCTTTTGTATGTGGATTGCTGAGTAATGTGTGATACAGGAGGAGCTGTGATGGCTTTTTCAACCTTATTGAATACATCAGAAGAAAATAAATGAAATCTGAAAAAGAATCACTTGTTTCCCAGATACCTGTTAGTCCTTATTTGAGTATTTAGTCTTCATCAATGTCGGTGAAATTCTGTTGCAGACATTGACAAAAGATAGCAACAACTTGTTAGTGGAGATAGAGATGGACTTGTTAGATAAAAATATTACTGTTTACAGCACATATTGATTTAAATATTCAGCCAAAATCTGCATGAAGTGATTGTTCCTTTTCCAACAATTTCCACGGATTTAACCCCCCCACACACACACACACTTGGATGCTCCTGCACCTTATCTTGTAATAGTGACTGCTGTGCTCCAGTTTGAAAGCAGACTGGTGGTATCCATAGCATTAATGTCAGGGGAGATATGGACCTATGCTGTTCTGTCTTTGGTACAAGAGACAGAGTCAGAGAGATACACGCAGCAGGCCTTTCTGGCTGCTCCTCTGGGATGAGATTTTTTTTTTTTTTCATTCTTTTCTGCATTTCTAAGCTGTTGGATTCAAAAGACAGAATAGTCAGGATGAGAAGAGGCTCTGCAGGGTGTGCTGTGAGTGGGGTGGGGGGGTATCTATGCCTCTCACTCCCTCTCTTTTTCTCTCCTCTATATGTATTTTGAGGTGATGCGTTCTCAGCGATCTCAGAGGGGGGCAGCAACAGGGCCTTACAGATGAATGCTCTCTCAGTATTAGTTGTGTTCATCAAAAAGTGTGTGTTGGTGTGTGTTGGTGTGTGTGTGTGTGTGTATGTATGCATTGGTTTGTGTTTGAAGAAGGGGGCTGATCTCCAGGGGGTTCTGGAGGACTGTGTGTGACTCAATCAGGCTGCGGTCGCTGCCAGCCTCATGAGAATGGAGACAGGGAGCAGGAGTGAAGGCATGGAGAGATGAAGAGGAGGCAGAAAGTCCTCTATTTAGCTTGTGACTTGATTCTGTGTATGATGCACAAAGAGAAACTGCAAAAAACATAATAGACTGGAGGACAATCTGCATTTATATGCCATGAAAACAAGAGTACTTGTCGAGAACTGAGCAGAATGCTGCTGCAAGCCTAAATCTTAACATCCAGTTTGAATTAAGATTTTAAAGGATAAAATGCACAGAAAAACAAAGTGCTTGTGTTCTTCTTAAGTCATCAAATAAAACGAAGTCAAGAGAAAATTCAAATCAAATTGAAAACAAGATTTAAAGACCTAATTATTACATTTTTATGAATGAATTTCGATCGATGTGGTGCATAAAGTGAAAGAAAAAAAATCCTACCCTATGGGACTGTGCTTAAATATAGTGTTCTTGCTCTGATCTATAAGAGCTTTGTAGCCAAAAAAGAGCTGATGTGCTCTTTGGGTTGGAGTCTCTTTCCAGCATACAGACAGATGTCAGGGTCACAGAACTCGACACTTGAGTGTTTGTGAGACAGAAAACCTTCACTCCGATCTGAGCGGTTGTTAATTTATCCTCAAATATTCAATTGTATTCTCCTTTTTAAGTCTGCATATGTTTCCTTTTGAAACATGGTCTATCTCTATTTATCAGTCACACATCAGATTCCTACTTTCCTTAGGTCACATATGCATGCTTGTAACCCAACTCCCACGTTGTTATCATGACAAAGAAATTCAAGATATATATGTCACAGTTAAAAAGAATACATAAAAAAAATTTTGTTTATGACTTTTTGTGCTTTCTCTCATAGGGCATTAACTTCTGTCCAGGTGAAGAGATCCCCGGCGTGACTACTCATGAGCAGAAAGAGCACACGATGCAGCCACTCATTTTCCATCTGGGACGGGATCCTGGGGAAAAGTACCCTATCAGGTTAGTTCTCTGAAAATAACACTTTACCTCTGCTTAATGCTGATTTCCGGTTGGAGGACAGAGGAGAGGCGAGTAGTCAGCCAGAAACAGGTGAAGAGATGTTTGAAAATGAACCGTAGAGGATTGAGAATTGAAAAAGCGTTGTGCCTGTTGCTAGCAGAGGCTGTGTATAAGATCAATGCCGATTCAGTGGCATGAAAAAGAAGGCGACGGATTGATCTGCTCAGCCAGAGTGCTCCTGATTACACCCTCCTCTTTGTGATTGCAAACAGCTCCTTAAAGATCGCTATCTGGACCTCAACCCTCCGGTGCACCGCTGCAGGTTAAAATTGCCAGATAAATTGTGCAGGTCTAAATTGAGAGCGTGTGCTGTTTAATGGAGTTTTGCTTGTGTCTGCCTGAGCTCAGAGGAGAGTTAAGAGTTGCCGTGAGGAGAGACACCAGAGGACACAGGCAGCAGAGGCTGAACTAAAACTATTACTTATGAAGGATGCAAAGATAGATGAGCGTCATCCTTTCCTGTTTGCAGCCAAATAAGGTCCTTTTTTTGTTGTTGTTTTTTTACGCAGGATGAAACCATGACTAATACATTAAGATAATCCCACAAGTGCTTTGATGAGAGAACATGTCTTTTGTGCACGCTCTCGCTCCCTGCTGCTGTGAAACCTCATGGATTGACCTTTTCTTTTCTGCCTTCTGCGGCTCCCTCTCACATTTCACTCTTCCCTCGTCTCACCTTTGCCTCTTCAAGCTCCCTTTCAGAAGTGAGATTGAGTGATAAAACATTCAAGTTGTTTTTCAACTGCTCACCTTTTTAGCTTTTCTATTCACTTGTTAGAATATTAAAAGCAAAAACCAATGAATATGTAGTCAAGTGCTGAGGTTTGTGGCATGCACCCAAACAAAAAATAGACATTTGATGGTCAGCAGGGTCATTGAGTTTGTCTATAAGGCCAAATTGTGTGACCTCTCGCTGCATGACTCTCCACTGTTTGTATGCAATTATTCTTCTATCCTCTCTCATCGACTGTTTGTTCCTCTTCTTTTCCAAACTTTTCTCCTTTTTTTCTCTCTACCTTCTCCTGTGCACCTCAGCACACTCCTCACCACTCAGCTGCTGTCCTTCTGCATCCACAGGGACCATTCTCCTCCTTCCTTGTGTGTGTATGTGTGAGTGTGTGTGTGTATGTGTGTGTGTGTGTGTGTGTGTGTGTGCGTGTTTACACATGTGTATGCGTGCATTTTGTCCGTGTGCTCCTCGCTCCCCCAGCTGGACTGGCTGCTTTGCTGTCATTAATCTCCGTCCGCACCTAAAGAGCCACTTAAGATGATGTAGGGCCTGTCTGCACACATACCTTCACTACTGTCGCAGCCTGTGATACAGCAAAGAGCACACACACACACACACACACACACACACACACACACACACAAACACACACTCAGGGAAAGCAGTGCAGATTACAATTATGCAATGTAGGAAAAAGTTTGGGGTCAAAAATACAGTTTTGGGTATTGCAATGTTGGACAAATTAGAATTGTGTTGGAGGAAGATAAGTCTTGTTTTGGTGAACCAGGAAGACACACACACACACACACAAACACACACACACCCAGCCAGTGATTTCAGTTCCCTACTGGTTTGTTCAAAGCCTTTTTCGGCCCTCCACTATGGCTGTCCATTTTCTGTGACCTCAGGCCCTGAGGTTAACACATCCCACCTTCTCACTCCCCACCTACACTCACACCCCCCCAGAGCCCCCTGGTCATCCAGAATGTAGTCCCAGCCCTCGCACTGCAGGCAGTGCCGCGTGGTGTGGCCTCATCTGCTGCCATCCACCAGCCTCTTGTGTCCCCAATCAATAGTCCTTACTGAAGTGCTCAATTTCCACCCGGGTGGAGAAGGTTGGTGGAGGGGAGGCGCAGGCAGGACAGATGTATTTGATTGTCTCCTCAATTCCCCCACCTTCTGCTACTGTGTGATTGTTTGTGTGTGTGCATGTGTATGTGTGTGCTCGAGCAATAGTGTTATGAATCAGTAATCAGTGTGGTGACACACCTGAGCAATGCCCCCGTCCCCCTTGGGTGCCATACATTATAAATCAAAAGACTAGATTTGCATACAGCCTGCTTATTATTCCAGAATTTGCCTGTACACCAGTAGGCTAAGGGTTATAATCATGATAATGAGCTGTGCTGAGTGTGAGCTTTTTATTATTTGTTTGCAGAGAGGGCATAAACAAATGGTATTATTAGTTTTTGATTTAGAGGTCTGCGCTGTAAGATTCTCGGTGCATAGACAAAAACAATAGAAAACTTTACGCAGGCTTCGCGGCATATGGCGTGCTTTGCTTGCAGAGTTATACGGAGAAACGTAGTGCCTTAAAGCACGCTGATAAATCGTCTTTACATTTGCTTTGATTAAGTTGCTTCATCACTTATCACAAAATGTATCGCAACAATAAGCAGCGGGCACAGATAGCAGGGGAATGAAATATCCCTCTCGCTGATTGGGATCAGGCGAAAGCAACGATTTGTGATTTCAGATAGCTGAAGCAATTTAATCTGAATGTCTGATTTTAAACTGAGGGGAGTAATCTGTTTTTCCCTCTATCAGCTCGGGTCAGAATGTGTAGATAGTTAGCTTATGACGGATGTGGCTCACCAAGAGAGAGACTAATTGCAGCCAGTGCACTCACTACCAGTCGAGTAATTGTAGGGCAAAATAAAGACTGAGAGTATCGGGGAAGGGAGCAGGTGCTGGCTGATGGAGGAAGCCTTGCTGCCCTGTGGGAGATCTAAGAGGGAGGGTGGGTGTGAGCTGGACAGGGCCTGGGGTTATTACTCTAATTGACACTTCACCTCACACACATGCACATGGTCCCCAGGGGCCAATCAGAAGGCTGGGTTTGCAGTGAAGAGAGGATGGAAGGCTGGCACAGGTGCTGCCAGCGAGTGTATCAGGGGTGTAATTGCACTGCTGATATTTGTCTGTCCGTGTGTCACGCCACCAGACGGACACTCCCCCAACACACACACACACATAGATGCGTGCACACACAGCCCATTAACCCTACAGGTCCTATTGAGAGCAGCGTTCCTTTGAAAGCCTTCAGGGCCCCTGTGTTTTACACACTGAATATAATAATGCACAGAGGTGCTCGGCTCACTGGTGTCCAACAGCAGTAATTGAGAGACAGGGGATGAGAGAGGGGTTTCATGGTTCACCTTGCTGAGTGTGCTTTTCCAAAGGGTGCCACAGTGGACAGCATGTGTGTGTTTTTGTTGTTGACAGCATGTCCCAGCACTGATATAATGAGTAAGGCTTGGATTGGATACATGTGTGCTATGCATTCACTCTCTTCATGCAAAAAAGCAAGACTAAGGGGATATATCATTTTAAAAATAACTGAAACTATTGGAGGAACAGACCAAACAACTTTAAAATTGTGCTTGTTTTACAAAAAAAACAGGTTGAATTTATATTAAAAGTTGTTTTAAAAGAAGGGTAATCATTTCAGTCAATTATAAGGGAAAAATCTGAAATGCTTGTTTGCTACATTTTCTTAAATTTCAGGAGTTGCTGCCTGTTTTTGTTGTCAACTGTTTATCTTTTGGGTTTGGTCTTTTGAAGCCCTCATCTTCGGCTTTCAGAAGTTATTTTGTAATGTTTTTCACCTTTTTCTGACTTTTCATATCCACGAGTTGAATGTAAAGGAAATGCAGTGTCATAGATAGTAACTGGTAATCATTTTAGCCCTGCATATTGTATGCTTACAGTGTTCTGAGTAAGGAGTACCAAATGAACTGAGCAGGATCTCTCCAGTTGTGGAGCAGCATAAGAAGACCCTGGTGCCCGGGAATCCCCAGCTCAATATGTGTGACGTGGCTGTAATGGTAAGACTTACTCATTATACAATTTATTGATATAAATGCTGAAAATACAACACCACCATCCTTTGGTGTGTTATGTAACTTACTTTATTCTCACTGTTTCAAGAGGCTGTGGATTGTTTGCTCCTCTTCTCTGCTTTCTCCTCCAAACTTGGACATCTGCTAAATCAAAAAGAAAATGATACTGCCTATATGAAAAAAAATATCTCTTAATGCTTATCGTTCCTTGTTTCAATCAGTTTTAAGTCTTCATAGAGCCTACAGACTAAAAGCATTCTACTTGAACAAAAAAAATGTTTATCTTCATACTTGTAGCTTACTTCTCTCATATTTTGTATTTTATCACCCACAAAAAAAAAAGAAGAAAAACTTGTGGCGCTGGATAGCTTAGTTGTTATAACGCACGCCCCATGAACAAAGGCTACAGCTGTGGGTTCGAAACCGGCCTCGGACCTTCACTGAATGTTGTTCCCACTCTCTCTCCTCCCGGGGTTTCCTGTCTCTCTTCAGCTGTCCTATCCAATAAAGGCAAAATCGCCAAAAAGTAAAACTTTAAAAAAAAAGGGGGGGGGGAAGCTGAAGTTAACAACAGCTGCCTGTACATATCTGCTGTAAAAAGTTCTTCTAGGATTATTTATAGCAGCTAAAGGGAGCAGTGGCTTTGTCACCTCAAACAGCACATTTTGTCAATTACACTGCTGTGAATTTATGCGTAGTGTAGCACTGCCCTCTTGTGGTGAACACAATAAACACAATTTTAAGTTGCGTTTAAATGAATACTTTTTCAGAATTGAAACAGTTTAGTGTAAAACATACTCTGTTACATCTCTTCCAAATGACATATTATCTATTCAGCAAAAAATGTATTTAAATATGATACTTTTAAGGTGAAGTAGGGACACATTGGGAAATATAGATGGGATGTAGCAATAATCTGGTGACAAACAGCTTCATTTTCACAAGAAAGCGAAACAATATTTTCTTAAGAACATCTTTTATACTCCATGTTTGTGTGCTCACTATGCTGGCTGTTCTCTGTTGCAGAACTGGGCTCCTGCAGGCTGTGAGAAGATAGGAAAGTGTCTCAAAGTGCCAAAGTCTGAGCCCAAGAAGTGTGACTGGCCACACTGAGAGCAGAAGTGCTGCCCCAGACACCAGGATGAGGAAGCAGAACCTGAAGATGTGCCTTTGCCACGCAAAAACAAACAAACTCATTTTTAAAGGATAGAGTTTTTAATCATTTGTAAAACGGGTTTTGCATCTTTAAAACAAAACATTTAATTGATTATACAAATCGGTTTTTTTTTTAAGTTTTTATATGAATGATCCAACAAAAGGTGTACATGTGAAAACACAACATTGTATCAAAAGACTGTTTTTGTAAATTTTCATTCTATTGATAAATTAAAGGGAAATGTATTTATTAAGGTCATGACTCAAATAATAAAGATGTGGTGGATTATTGGATTCATTCTATGTCACTGTTAGATGCTGGGGAAAACCCCTAACCACTCAATGTGCAAACCTTTTTTTCATAAATACTATTTATTTTTTGAATGAGACAAACTACAGGCAGGCCCAATTTGAGAATCTTCTATGGCTCGGTGTATATCCTGTGACATTCAGAGCCCTTTGTTCACATCTGTCTTGTTGTTCACCAGAAGCTGCTGGTGTGAAACATTGCACATTTTCTTACAGTCATTTCCTTTACAGCTAAAAGGAAATAGTTTCAGGAAACAGAATAATCTGTCTTTTGCAAATGAAATTGCATCATCATGTCAGAGGACCAAAATACAAAAACAGCCATGGAGCTGGACACGGCTTTTCTCAAATCCAGGAGGGGAATCCTGAAAGTAGCAGAGATGGTAAGAAAGTCTGTTCATCACTTAAAGTTTTGACATTATTTTAGTATGCAGAGTAGTGTTGTAACAGCAGCTGGTGACCTATGCTGTAAAGATACAAAGTGGTAACAGTAGCAGAACAAGAATATGGTATACTAAAGTTAACAGTGAAAACTGTTTTGACAGCAGGGCTGACATTAAAAAACAGAGATCACTTTAAATGCTGAAGGAGAAACTGGATCTGTTGGAAATGTAAAAAAAGCTATGCGAAAACAGCGGAAACTCAGTTCCTCCTTCTCTATACAAACTGCAGTGCTCCTTGCTCGGTTTAAAGACAGTGAGTAAATCAGAAGACAAAACGTGCAGGCAGTTTCATAAAAACTGTCAAATGTACTTACAATAGAATCATTTGTAAAGATTTAAATGTGAGGGAGATTACATTTCCTATTACAGTGGTAACTAAATGTATATGTTTTTGACTCTTTTTTTTTTTTGTTTGTTTGTTTCAGGGGACTCTGGTTGTGGCGTTTGTGTGTTTCAGTGTAGCATCCAGACCAACATACATCACAGCCACAGTGCTGGAGTTTCTGATCACTTCACTGCTGCTCTTGCTCTACACACTTAAACTCAACAAGAGGCTGGCATTCTTTTTCTGGCCTCTCATTGTGGGTGATGTTTATAGAGAAACACATGATCATATTGTACACGTTTTTATATGCTTTATTTAGAAAATATGTTCCCCTTTGTATGCTGCAAATTTGTTCTAGAGTCCTTCTCTTGTTCCTTCCTTCAGGACTTTTTTAATTCAGTGTTTGCGGTTGTCTACTTTACTGTCCTGAGCCTGCTGGCTCTGACTACATACACAGTCACAGGCACGCTAGTCGGAGGGGTGAGATGTCTTACTTTAATCTATAATTGCAATCTCAGATGTGTGGGACAATTTCCCCTACACACTGTCAGTAAAATTGATTATCTAAATGTTGCTTTTCTGTGTCTACATGTGCTGTAGCTTCACAGTATCAAGTCCTCTGAGAAATAAACATGCCCCCCTCTCTGTCTCCCTCTCTCTCTCTCTCTCTCTCTCTCTCATGGACAGCGGATGTGTTGTCATGCAGTGTGATGCATTTATTTTTAAATCTGCTCTTTCTTTGCAGATAGTTGCTTTCATGACAGTTGGGTTGCTGTGTGTGGACGGTTACACACTTTTCAAGAACATCACATTCAACAAGCCAAGAAGTGACAACCAGAATAAAGACATGGAGTGAATAAATTATTGAAAGCAAAATAATTCATTGTATGCATAACCCCTGCCTATATGGTTGCTTACACATGAGCTCTGTAACCTGGGAAAGTGGAGCTTATCGTCGAGCTACATGATGTATGTTTAGAAAGGTTTCAAAGTTTTTAAACAGTTTTAGCATATTTAAGAATCCTACTGTAATACAGACTGGGGCATGTTTTACTGAAATTAAACAAATATTTTGGAATCAACAAATATCAATAAAGATTGTCTATACCCTATCTATGACATCACGAGTTGCATATTTCCACTGAGTGGCTCCGGGCTGAGTGCTGTGCAGCTGGGGGCATCGCATTTCACATCTGGAGAAAGCAGATGTTGCACTTTTTTGGAGCTGGCCTGGCGCTGCGTTTCCGCGCTGTCATTGTTTCCGTTTCCACCTCCCTGTAGCCTCACGCCTCCACATATCGCTCTTGTTTGGCCTCGAATCCGTTACAGTGCGCTTAGTTTGGGGTTATCTGAAGTTTGTAGAGAGTTAAACACTTCTTTTTTTTCCAGCAATGGGGGACATCGAGGCTCCCAGCTCGACTCGGCCGCGCCAGACTGTCCTCTCCTCGATTCTTCCGAGCAAAGAGTTTGTCTCCTCGAGGAAAGGCATGCTGCTTATTGCTGAAGTGGTAAGAATGACCAGAGGAGTCAATACTGAAACGAATACAACTGTTGATGTATCACTGCTCGCTTATTGCGCATGAAAGTCCAGCGCGCTGCGTTTTGGTAACTTTCACCCGCAGTTTTTAAATGTTACGGCTGTTTTTGTACTCTGAATCCGAATTTAGAAAAGCAGACTTATCTACTGTCATTTTGAATATGGGTCAGTCAGTCAGTTCCAGTCTCAAGGTTTCCATTAGTAAAGGGTGGAGCAGCAAGGGTTTATAGAAACTAGGTAATGTAAAATACATGTAAAGTGTTTCTGGACACAACACGGAGATACAGTGATGACGCTAAAGAAAGAAATGAATCTCCTCCAGTCTCTTATTGTTTTGTCAAGTCGTGCATTATATGATTAACTGATATGAGTAGTTGTATTTTATTCATCTTAAAGTGTATTTAAACGAACATGGACGAACTTCCATATGTTAGTGTTGATCATCACCAGTATCATGCAGGACTTCTGGGAGAGTCTTTTTTTGCAGTAATTGTGTTAAGGCCGCTATATGAACCATCACATTTGTGTCATCATGTGACATTCAGCTCATGTCAGGCTGTGAGAGAGTGCTTATCTTCCTCATAGTCACATCACATCCTCTGCAACATGTTGCCCGGAGTACTGTCTTCCTTACTGTGAGTGCACACAGAGCTCCACAAACACACACACACAGGCACACACAATACAGCCTCTTTACTGCTGCTTAACAATGTGACTGTGATCTCCAGCCCAGGGCTAAAAAAGCTAAAACTGAAACCTGCTGGCCTCCACTGATAGTTCTTGTTTGTGCACAAAGGTGAGAGTGCACCCTTGGTTTAAACTTGCAAGGATCTGTCAGGTGGGCCAAGTTTTCTGAAATCAAGACCCTGTTTTCCTTAATCCAGAAAACACAACATACTTTGAAGGACAGAATTGGATAAGAGTAGATGGGCTGTTGCATACAATATAGTTAAGTGAATGGCTGCTATTTAGGGCATTTTCCACTCACTCATCAAATTGTATTATAAACACAAGGCTGTTTTAACACTTCTGTTAATCACACTTTTAGGGAAGCATAGGATTTCATGTTTATTGTTTATAATGTCAAACTCTCTGGTCAAACATAAATGTTTTTTAAACCTTTATGTTGCTCAGTTTTAGAGTCTGCTCAATTACCTGTGGTATGTAGTTCGCCAATAGACGTGTTCACATCTGCTTTGAGAAATCAATCTCTGTCTGTTCCTCAAAACGATGAAGGTAGGCAAATTTTAAGTCTTACACATCATTTAGAAAATGCATTTTTTTTTATCAGCAAAAATCAAAAGAGGGGGTATTTATTCCAGAATAAAAGCATCCCTGTTACTGTATGGATTAACTGTATTTCTAACTACTTTCTGAGTAGCTTACTTTTCCATTTTATAAAAAATAAAAAAACATTTACAAACTGATACTGGCTACTTCAGTAAAAACCTGACAAATAAAAGTACCTTATCAAATCACCGCAATTATAAAATGAAAACCCAAACCGGCATAAAGCAGACATGCCTACATTAATACAAACCAGAGATGTTTCCAGGTTAGCTACAGCAGTTTATTTTGAATTATTTCCAAATCTATATTATCTTACACATCAACATATTTCCCAAATCTCCTGGAAAACGTTGTTTTGGGAACTTTTCCATTGTCTGTGCTGTAGATTTAATTATCCAGTGTGCATTAAATGTTGTTTTTTACAGCTATGGAAGACAAAAACTCTCAGATAGCAGAAGATGTTAGGGAGAGAATATGTATATTTTTGGAGTGAATTGGTCATCTTTAAAGTCATTTTAGCACTCAGAAACTAAAGTTGCAGTTGTGATGGTAGTTTAAGATGTGAAACAGGGGTCAATTCAAACTAGTACGATTATAACCTCCAGTATGCAGTAGAATTCACTTGAGAATAATTAATCTCCATATTATTTTCATATACAGTATTGTTCCTCGTACACTGGCATAGTGTTTGACCTCCTTGCTGTTGCTGAGAGCTATTCCTCTTGGAGTATAGAAAAACAGTATTTTTGTCTTTGTGATACAATATATATCTTGAAGGCAGGATTGTATCAGCCCACAGTGCCTGAACTGCATGCTTTTTGTGAGTCGTTCAAACAGAGCTCGCTCACAGCTCCATCATTCCTGTTAGTATTAGTCAGACACATATCCTGCTGAGCATGCGTTATTATGCTCACTGTGTCAGACTACTAGTGTACTTCTCATTAGGCTTCTCAGTCTCAAACAGAAACAGGTTTCATGAGGAACATGAAATCACAGCCAGTTCACTGAAGGCATGGCACAATTCTTGTAACATTTTAAAATATTTTCAAAATGAAAACAAGATGTTAATTAAAGCTACGTTGTATAGTAAATGTGTGCAAAGCATGCATTCTCTCTAGGTGGTATGAACTGAAAACAAAGCATTGTCATAATTCTCAGCTCAGTATGTAATGTGTATTTTACTACATTTAATACCTGCTCATTTTCTAATCGCATAGCTGCTTTGAAAACAGGCTCCCCCAATCTGCTCGTACTTTAGTTTGCAGTTTGTTTATAAAGTCATTTACAGATGAGTCATATGAAAGAAAATGTATAAGTAACAAAATAGATGTGTTTAAAGAACCCATCTTTCTAAAAAGTATCTGCACACAATCTGTTACCAGACAGGCAAAAAAATAGCGTTAGATCAGACTGAAGCACATTCTTCATCCAGTCTCAGCTTCACCCTCTGGGAGAGGGGAGAGGGTCCCTCAGAGCAGGCTGAACCACTATAAACATTCATTTCTGCTTGTATCCATGAAGGAGTCTCAATCTCCAGATATTAATAACAGTTGCCTAATTGAGTGTGTGTGTGTGTGTGTGTGTGTGTGTGTGTGTGTGTGTGTGTGTGTGTGTGTGTGTGTGTGTGTGTGTGTGTGTGTGTGTGTGTGTGTGTGTGTGTGTGTGTGTGTGTGTGTGTGTGTGTGTGTGTGTGTGTGTGTGTGTGTGTGTGTGTGTGTGTGTGTGTGTGTCTGTGTGTGTGTCTGTGTGTCTGTGTGTGTGTGTGTTTGTTGTCTCCAGATAATATGATGTAGGAGGAAATGCAGCTGTTTCACCAGCTCATCTTGTGCTGTTTTTTGAACCGCTCACTATCCCAACATCCCAGGCTTTTTATTTGTCATGAGCAAACTCGCCAGAAGATCCACTTAGAAACTGGGAGAAAAGCTTTGCCTGTATTCTTATTACAGGTGAATCCAATGGATCCCTGACAGGAAACTAGTTGTTGGCAGTGATTTTCAAAGAGCAGCAGCTGCAGCAGCAGTTTGGGTTGAGTCAGGGGGAGTTCCTAACCTCAGGGCAGAGTGGGATGACTGACAGAGACAAAGACAAGATGGCCGGGCCTGTTCGCAGATTACAGAGTCTGGACTTGCTTTCATTTGCACTGATATGGTGTCCACCCTGCTAATGGAGGGCGTCAAACACAGAGAAGGCTCATTTAACCCACAGCCTAACCACTTTATGACTTTGTCTCACACAGAAAAAAAGTTAAAATGTCTCCTTTCGGTTTTTGTGGGTGATTGTTTGTGTGAGAGAACGACGAGAGAGAGAGACGAGAGGGATTCAGTGTAGCAGTGTATGACTCTGTGTGAATAAACAATGTCTTTAACAACCGTATCTTCTTACAGGGAGCAAGCCCGAGGCTGTGATTCACACAGACTGACAGCTTCAGGGCAGTGTAACGTTATCTTAAAGAAGGAAGATGGAAAAAGACTTAGCCCCATTTTATTTGGATTCAAATTTTAATTTGCCTTTGCCCCGCCTGTCACTGAGAAACACAGAAGTTTGAGACAGGAGGAAGGAATTAAAATGTTCCTCTTGCCATTCTTCAAATACATAAGGGAAAACAAATGATTTGTTTATCCTTTGCCCGAGGCTGCTGTCCTACACATTTAATATAATCTAAAGCTACAGTTCACACTGCTCTTATTTTTCTGTCTGTGTTTCTGGTTTTCTCTTTAGGCTCTGTCCCTTGTGTCCTTCGTGTGTTTCGCCGCCTCTACAGCAGCAGCCTTTGTGACCGTCCCCCTGCTGGAGTTTCTGGCCGCTCTCTTCCTGTTGTTCGCTTACTCCACCAAATTCAATGAGAGGTTTAAAGGCTTCTTATGGCCGCTCATGGTAAAAGCATTTTCCAATAAATATTTTGGTGTTTCCAGAGAAAAAAAAAAAAGAAAAAGGTTATTTAAAAAAAAATAATTGTGTTTTCTTTCACTCTTAAAGGATTTCATGAGATGTGTCACTGCCTCCATCATCTTTTTCATCATCTCCATCATTGCAGTCTCCAAATATGTGGATGGTTCTTCTAAGGCTGCCGGGGTAAGAATTGAAATCTTACCTATAGCCTACACCTTGTCGTTTGTGTTTTATTGATTACATGCTACACATTACGCCCTCGTCTTACAACCTCAGTTATTTTTTAAGATGCAGTTTTTACTGTAATGGTATTTAAATTGTCTTTTTTTTCCTACAGGTGTTCGGGTTTATTGCCACCATTGTCTTTGCTTTAGATTTTTATCTCATTTTTAATGAGCTGGCTGATTTCCTGAAGCAAGGAGGGGCGTCCAATGACGAACCAACAGGACAGCAAGGTGAGACTGGAACTGAATGTCTGCTATGTGGCCATTTAAGAAAATACACACATGTTAAATAACAAACTGTATATCTGTTATACTCAAGATGTTTGATCCAGTATCTGTTTAATAGAATATAAAAATTACGTGTTATTATATAGCTTAAGAAATAAAGTATATCAACGGTGATTCAGTGTTATTTACAGCCTGGGTTTTATACCGTGTTCCCATTTATGCACCAAAATACATGTATCAAATCTAAAATGTGACTTTTATATGTCCATGTTATTAATTGATATGGCTATGCATTAAATACAATTTTTTGGCTTTGTATTATGAGTTAAAAAACATAGCTACGTTTTTTTGGCAACACATTCAAAATATTTTATTATATGCATGCACATTCAAGATGATTCTATATTTAATTTGGGATATTTTCCACATTTATTTCATATTGGTGTAGTCAGAAGTGTCACAAGCAGACCCAAACAGTCCCAGGTTTGAGTCCTCTGATGAGCTAGACTTTGAATGTCCCACTGATTCAAAGGGGACATAATTCCAAGATTCATTTTAATATCACATAATTATTCACTGGATATTTCTGTTCATGTTAGGTGGTTGTATTCGACATTGGCAACACTGCTGCATTTCAGAATATGTCTGATAAGTACTTCAGATCTTTTGCATGCTTAGACTACTATTTATTATTGCAGCGCATTTTCAGATGCTGCTATTTTAATACCTCTGTATATAAAAGCAAATCAACCTGCAGGGTTTGTCACTGCTAGAGTCAAGTGAACATACACGTGAATGAGATTGATTCAACCCCTGAAGCGACTAAGTTTATCTTCAAACTTTGCACTTGTCAACCCATACATTGTTTCTGTAATATCATGAGTGTACCATATACAATATGTCTGAAAGAAAGTTTGACTTTGTAATGTATCTTTTACGCAAAAAGGCCCCATGTAGCACAAACAGTCATTCTGACTTGTGTCTTTTTTCACTTTTCTTTTCTAGATGAGTTTTCAGACTCTGATTCTGACTGAGACGTCAGGGATCTTCATCAGTGGATATGTTTGATCAGACACAAAAGTCTCCTGGGGAAACAAATGGTGACCACAGAGCTGCACTCTGCAAAGATCTGCACTCTGCAAAGATCTGCACGTGTGTTATGATAAAACAAGGTTATAATGCAAAATATGGACAAAAATTACATTGTGAGCATGATGACCTTAAAGCTGTGAAATCGTGGCATCATTTTATTGAGTTCTTAGAGATGGGTTTTTATGACCTACATGTGGGAGCAGTTGTTTTAATTTGAAATAGTGACTTATATCAAACTTTAGGGCCTGCAGGGGGGATCTGATTAACCGACATCTAACTACAACACTACATTAATGCCCTTAGCGAATGAAGATTTTATTCTAGAAATGAAGTTGTATTTTAGCAAATTGAGCTTTATAAAAATGGAAAGACAACAGGCCCACAGTAAGTGAGTGTGGCAGCAACATGATCTATAAAATTCAACATATTTCTCTAAAAATAATGTGTGTACACTGTATAGAAGAACAGATGAGTTTCAGGTTGGCTGGTTACAACCTCTGTTTATTGTCTTACTCTTTGCTTTTCTCTATGTTGGACTTTGGTCTTGTCAGAGTTTAAAACCTTTCCTGGGTTCTGAATTCATGAACCTCAAAGCAGAAAAAAATACACATTTTCAAATTGAATTAATGCTGATCCCTTCAGTTTATCTTCTGCATTTGCATCCAACAAGCTGTGTTAGTGTGTGTGTGTGCATAACTGTGGAAACAGTGCATTGAAGCCACTCAAAGCATTATCATTATGTAAAGTATGAAATATCCTACATGTGGATATTGTTTTGTGTGTTTGCTTTTTTTTTGTAGTCACGTAGTGTGTGTGTGTGTGTGTGTGTGTGTGTGCGTGTGCGTGCGTGTGTGTGGGGTTCTTTCACAGCCACTTCTGAGAAATCAGACACTCCTGATCGCCACAATGACTGTTAATATGGTACACACTGCACTACATGAGTGATATAACAGCACTGTGATCAAAAAAAACAATTTGCACCAGTGGTTTCAAATGTCCTTGTCACCTATTAAGAAGTTTGGCTTATTCACAGTTAAACTTTTTCTTTTTTGAATTTGCAATGATATTGGATTATTCTTAACCATGGAGCCTGTGTGGTAGCATATTGAAAGTTTTTTTTTGTTCTGTGTTTTTGAATTTTGTTTCAATGTGGCTTAGTCAGAATTAGGAAAAAATAGCTATTTGGACAAAAAATGCGAGAAAGCTCCTTATGTGCTAACTTGTGCATATCTCAAAAGATGTCAGAAACAGGCTTTGGTTGATGCTAATCTGTGAGTAATGTGATATGTTTGTATTGTCCCACGAGAGCTGCACATCCCCATATCTTTTACTTTCAACCAAATGATCATACATTGTTTAACACCACAAAGAGAAAAATACATAATGGTTGTGTTTATCTGAAAATATATGTTTTTTTTTATTCGACATGAAGTAAGGTCAACCATAGTTGGTGTGTATAAAAATCGTATTAAAATCAGGGGTTGCCTGAATTATTATACATCAATCTTCTTGCTGAACTTTTAAGTCAAATTGTATTTCTACTCTCCTTGGCACTTCTCTGCAAAAAATAAAATAAAAAAAATGCTTGAATAAAAAACCTACGCTTCTTTTCATTAATGTCAAATTACTTTATTAAACTCACTAGAAACTGTCTTTAGTGAATATTTTAAATTTAAACAAAATACAGCGCCCATCCTGTAAAAGACTGACCTTGATGTTATCACTGACAAAGCACAAAAAGAAACCAGAGAGCATCTCACTTCATCCACACTTAGACCCATCATGTCTGTTCTTTAAAGCACAACTAGTGTATTTACTTATAAATATAAGCAGTTATTAAGATATTGTAGCAAAGCTGTACAAAAAGAACCACAGCCTGATAGTTCATGACAAATATGATCAGTTTATATCATGACACAGTGCATTAAGATGCACTTTCACAATTGTGTTGTAAAGTTTGCTGTACAAATGTTATAGTGGACATTTTGACATCACTCATAAAGCCCATCATTGTAAGTAACATACAGAATAACAAATATGATTGTCTAGGCAATAAACTACTTCAGTCACTAAAGCAGGAGAAAAAGCAGTCGTACATGATAAGTTACTTAACTCCTTTAAAAACAGTTAATCAAGCCAACCATTTCTGTTGAAACTTCTATGGCCATTGAAGAAGCCGTACAGTTTTTATTTTCATTCCCACGTGCAGTCAGAAACAATTCTGTTCCTTCCTTTCCAAACACGCGTACACACCACTGTAGTTATTTGACTGTACAGTCATTTCAGATGAAGACCAGGAGGTGGAGCCATAGAGTTGATATAGACCCTGCACAAACTCACTGAAGCCTAAGATACTATTAAGAGGTCTCAAATATCAATTTAAACACAGATTAAGTGTAGACTCAATGTTAGCCTTCAAAAGGTAAGAGGAGATGTCTTCCTGAAAAGAACATATGATGTACACTATTTTCCAACTTGAATCCTAGTTAAAGTAGCCAAACTGTAAACAATTAAAGGAATAACAAGTTTTGCTTTGCACTCTGTACGCATGACCTTAAACATCTGCAATGTGGAATGGTTTCAGATTGAATAATGCATTGAATGTGTAATATGTAGCAATATACTGAAGATACAGATACAGACATTTTTATTGAATTCAAATACAGAGTGAAAGCTGGTTATGAAGCTAAATGTAAACCCCATTTCCATCTGTCTCAACCATAATGTGACCAGGTTTTAAATTACTTTTCACTTAAATTACACACCTGATTCAATTCTCTGTGATCATCCTTGAACGTCTCATAAATATATGAAGGCATTAAGATTACAGCGTTCATATTGAGGCACCGTGTGATTTCATTTCAATTTTTTTTTTCTTGAAGAATCAAAGACTAAAAGGAGTGTGTCCATACCTGAGATACTAGTGAATAGGCTGAGGACATTTATTTTTTAACCAGGTCGATTTCTGATGTTAGTTTAAAAATGAATTTCATTGATGTAACTGCATTATTTGCGTTACCTAAAGCCTTGGACATGTGAAAAGGCAAAAAGCTGCCAATCTCCTTCTTGTCGTCTGATTGGACTTATTGGTAGCTCACAGTGTTGACCTCAAAGTTATGATTGTAGGAATGATTGAGTGATTCTTTCTTTTTTTGGTTCATTAATGCACAATATAGGATTTCCCCTTTGCTTGTACTGCTTGTCTTTATTACAGTTCATATAACCCCGTATTGTATTTTCTGTCAGGGAGGTGTCACAGAGGTGACCGTAGAGCTGCAAAGGAGAAAGAAACTGTGATGTCATCATTTGTAATCATCAAATTGAACACCGAATGTAAGCCTCGCTCACAGACAGACAAGGCTAATGTCAGCTTTTGACTAATGCAGTAAAGTCACAGTGCCTCTGTTGTATTGCAGGGTACTGTGTGTTGCTGGTTTCGCAGCCTCCTAGATCTACGATCACATTGATCACCACAGATTCACAGAAAGCAGCTTGAAAAAAGCAAAAGCTGTGCAATAGCTGATCTTTTTTTTTTTTTGTGTTGCCTTCCTTCACAGTGAAACTCTAAAAGTGTTTTATAAAAGTCCACACCTACACCAGAACAGGAGTCGGTGCATAGCTGGAGTGAAGTCAGCCTTAGAATCTTTTCATGGAAGTCATCCTTCACAAAGATTTAGAAATATATGTGGATGAAGGCTCTTGGAGAGAATACCTTCATTTCTGACTCCAGCTCTTCACTTTACAGTCTTTTCATGTCACTGGAGCCAGGATGCCTTCTAAACAAAACCACACACACACACACAGCTCATTTGTAGCTGTGAAAGGAAGATGAGGTGTCGTGATGAAACATAAAAGCATGTGGTTAGCGATGGCCCTCCAATTGTTGACTTGAATAAAAAAAAAAACTGCTCTAAGGGTAGAGTAGGGTCCATGTCAGTCAGCTGCCGTTTTAGTCCCTTAGGCTGTATGATTGTCTGCCTGCACTCATGCTAGCTCGGGTCTCGCCTCCATCTCTCCACGGGAGGCGGTACGCGCACGTATGTACTCGCTAGTCTGCGCTGCACCCTGACAGCCGTTGCCAAGGCGCCACCTGCGTACTGCCAGGAAGGTGTTTATCCCGTACACACCTGTCACCAGGAAGCCAAAGATCTGCAATCAAGGGGAAAAAAGGAACGGGAGGTAAAAAAACAATTTCAGAGTTTGAATGGGAACCAAACAACAAAGCAAATGCATGTACAAAGCTCCTGAAATGTGCATTTGTTGTACTTTTAAAATGCACTTGTGTGACTTCTGCTCACTTAGCAGATAGAGGAGGTTAACCTGTGAGACCTTTGCATAAGAATACTCATACATATGTTTTAATTTATCTTGATCTGCTATAAAAGGAAACTTGAGGAGTGATGAAGGGAGAGTTCTGATGGTTTGAATAACTCACCACTGCTGCTATTTCAGCTCCAGTGTTGTGGTTGATGCAGGAGAGCACAAGAGAAGACAAGAAGAAGAAGAAGGTACTGGCAGCGGTGTTAACCAGGTCCTAGAGGAAATCATACACGATGACATTAGACTCCAAAAGTGTATATAACTGACCTTTCAGGACTAACTAGCATGAAGTTAGAAGTGACAAGTGATTCATGATGGTAGGAACCGACTCAGAGAAATAGATCACCATTGTTAAGAGCGAACCCTTACTAAGAAAATCATTTGGTTGCTGGGGCCTTTTCATTTTCCCATCGGTCTGTTTGGCGTGGGAAAAGGAGACAGTAGAGGATAACAGTGGTGAAAAGAGGATAAACATTTTTAAAAACTCTAAAAAGAAAAATCAAGATGGCACATGAAGTAAACACATAACCAAAACGTGCTACAGGATACGGTGGTGTATTAAGACTGCTGAAAAGAAAATGTCAACAGACTCCGACATGAAGAGAGAAAAAAAGCTCAATCAGGTGCCCCGCTGATTCATGCGGATCTGTTTACCCCCTTCAGGGTGAGTAAGACCCCAATGTGAAGGGCACACCATGTCAGGGTTCAAATCCAAGATATCTAGACTATACATTATCCCCCACATATAGGCTGTCTACTTAATACAGAGGCCTAGAGTTAGGACATCATTTGTAATTGATTGATACTTCAGCATTGATACTTGAATTTCAAGACCAAAAAAACACTTTTTTACAACAGTAGCTTTGATGTTTATCGACTTATTTGCAATAAAACTTCCTACATAAGCACCTGGTGAACAATCTAATAAATCCAGTCTTGAATTTGAAAAATAAATTATTCTAATCAAAAACTCTTTAAGTTGGGACGCTGGTGGTGCAGTGGTTAGTGTGCGCGCCCCATGTATGGAGGCTGTAGTCTTCTGGGCGGGCGGCCCGGGTTTGAATCCAGCCTGTGGCTCCTTTCCTGCATGTCATTCCCCACTCTCTCTCCCTTATTTCCGACTTAATCCACTGTCCTATCTCTCGATTAAAAGGTACAAAAAGCCCAAAAACAAATCTTAAAAAAAACCCTTACGTTTTCAGTAGCCTGCCTGGCGCTAAAGCCTCACTTTGGTAATAGTTAAAATGTTTATATCCATCCCAAATAAAAGAATACATCAAATATAACTTGAAATATAATATATGGAAAATTACCAATGATACAAACAAATAATCTCCCTCACTCTACAAAATAATTTGTGGTTCTTTAACACAATTAAAGCCCCTAAAGGTCTTTGCATTAAGACAGATACTACGCCCAGGAAGGACATCCTGGATGATGTTGTACCATGTTGAACAAAGCAAGATGTGCTCACTCACATTTACTCAGCCAGACTGCATCCTGGTGCTCCACTGAGAGTTTAAAAAAACCCACAGGAGGGCAAAGAAGCCCCAAACATAAACTTAAAAGTTAGCCAGCACCTCATCCTACACACAAACACTCATAACTCAAGTGAACCCCCCCCCCCCCCCCCCCTACAATTTGAAACACGCAGAGAAGAGTGAGATACTTCTCTCTTAGTTAGCGAAGGGTTAATAATGAAGGGCTCACTGCCTGACTGGGACGGGCCCTCGTGATCAGATGCGTGATTGTGATCATGGCTGACACGGTCTCTCATATGACACACGATGCTCATACAATGGCTATGTCACAAGCACTCTCACACTCACACACACACACACACACACACACACACACACACACACACACACACACACACACACACACACACACACACACACACACACACACACACACACACACACACACACACACACACACACACACACACACACACACACACACACACACACACACACACACACACACACACACACACACACACACACACACACACACACACACACAGTCAGACCTTAAAAAGTGTGACAACTTTCCACTGATCTGCAGTTTAATCAGTAACATACTGATATAACCCATAACACCTCACGCTAACTGGTACAGTTAATGTACAACAGGATTATGATTCTAACCTTCATACTAAATCAGAAGTTCACCAACCCCCCACCAACACACTTACACACACTTGGACAGACACACTGCAAACATTGCTCACTCCCATCTATCTCACCCGACTGGTTGAACAGGAAACGCTGCAT